TAATATCCGAGAAGATTTAGACCACTTGTGCTCTTAGATGTTTTTATCATCCTAATATCGAAAAATACTTCTTGACAACCTCTTGAGCTCCTAGAGACTTCTATCGTCTTCATTTCCATAAACATTTAGACCTTTTGAGCTCCTAGAGACTTCTATCATCCTGATATTTAAGAAAATGAGACCATTTGAGCTCTTAGAGGCTTCTGTCATCCTGATATTTTAGAAGATTTAGAACTAATGTGTTCCTAGAGCCGTCTAACATCCTGATAGCTAACTTTTTTATTCAGTCATCAGATATTTAGTAATTTCCACTTGGGAGTTCTTGGAGACTTCTCTTAATCTGATATCCATGAAGATCCAAACCTCTTGAGCTCTTAGAAGCTTCTGTGTTCCTAGAGCCTTCTAACATCCTGATAACGAACATTTGGCAGCTCCTGTCCTTTTAACAAAAGCTCTCTTTTGGACTTCAAGCATCCTGCTATTCAAGAGGATTTCAGAATATCCGAGCTCCTTAAGGTTTCTGTCACCCGAACACCAAGAACCTTTAAGCTGCTGATTTAGTAATTTCCACTTAGGAGTTCTTGGAGACTTCTTCTATCCTGATATCCATGAATATCCAAACCTCTTGAGCTCTTAGAGGCTTCTGTCATCCTGATATTTCCGAAGATTTAGAACTTATGCGTTCCTAGAGCCTTCTAACATCTTGATAGCTAACTTTTTGGAGCTGATTTTATTCAATCATCAGATATTTAGTAATTTCCACTTGGGAGTTTTTGGAGACTTCTCTTAACCTGATATCCATGAAGGTCCAAACCTCTTGAGCTCTTAGAAGCTTCTGTGTTCCTAGAGCCTTCTAACATCCTGATAGCGAACATTTTGCAGCTCCTGTCCTTTTAACAAAAGCTCTCTTTTGGAATTCAAGCATCCTTCTATTCAACTGGATTTCGGAATATACGAGCTCCTTAAGGTTTCTGTCACCCGAACACCAAGAACCTTTAAGCTGCTGATTTAGTAATTTCCACTTAGGAAGTTCTTGGAGACTTCTCCTATCCTGATATACATGAAGATCCAAACCTCTTGAGCTCTTAGAGGATTCTGTTATCCTGATATTTCGGAAGATTTAGAACTTTGTGTTACTAGAGCCTTCTAACATCCTGATACCCAACTTTTTTTTATTTTGGCAAAAGCTCGAATCTCTCTTGGACTTCAAGCATCTTGATATTTAGAAGAATTTTGTAAAAGTGAGGCCTCATGTAGTTAATTCCATCCTGATATGGAGATTCTCCAGCCTCCTACCATTGCATAAGCTCCTAGAGACTACTGTCATCCTGATAGTCAAGGATAAATTAGAAAATGTGAGCCCCTCGATATTTCTGTAATGCCGATATCAACTTCCTTCCGTCCAACTTATTAAAAAATAAGTTAATCTTATCTTTGGTTATATAGAAATTTTTAAAGTAGACAGATCGATGAAGCAATAAAAGCTGATTATAGAAAGAAAACAGAGTTTGTTGCATTCCGTATTTCTTTTGTTTATGACGGCATTAAAAAAAAATTAATAGTTCTCTTTAGCCTCCTTTCACCATCGGCTCGTCCTTCCTCGTCGGGAAAGGCGGCCGACACGGATCGCGCACTTTCACCGTAGAAGCGAGTGCTTGCGGACCCAAATCTTTTTCCATATTTCGTCCCCCGTTCTCGTCGGAAAGCCTGCATGTGTCATCTCCCGGCCGCAGGATGGGCCCTTAGACCGCGGAATCCGGACGTAGCGGGTACGGGCGGACCCACCGGGCCGTGACGTCCACGGAGGGCCGTGAAGATGTAAATTCACCGAGCATGTCCGTCATCTTCACGCCCGAACGTATAAAAATACACAGTGCAGGGGGGGGGAATAAAATAAATTAATCTTTAATATCCTTTCAATTGCCTCATTTTCTTCATTAATTAAACTCGTGACTTCGGAATTAAAAAATGAAAACAATTTTTATTTCTTTCTTCTAATTTTCTTTGCCAATCCCTCGGTCCAACAAACACGCCCTTGTTTGAAAGTGGAAATCGGCTTGATTATGCTTTACTTTCACGTGAACCAGGCCCATTTTAGACAAATAGAAGGGAAATTTCAAATCGAAAATCCTTTTACCAACGGAATGAGAGAGAGCGCAAGTTTTCAACTCTTGATATGCCAGGAATATCAGGATACCAGAAGTTTTAATGTGTCCTGAAAAACCAGAGTTCAAATATACAAAATGAAAATGAAGATGAAGAAATCACAGGAGCTTAAAAGAGCTGTAAGAAGAAGTTCCTAAGGAGCTCATGGAGCGATCAAATTCCAGTTGTCCCAAAGGCTTGCAGCTTTTTTAAGGTAACAAGAGGCTAAATAGGCTTTTATTAGGATGGCAGAACGTTCAAGGAGCTGACGATGACTAAAGCCTGGGAACCTCTTGATATCCGACGTTTCAATACAAACGTGAGTACCTGGTGGCTGGTGGCAGGAGGAGCTCGATATCAGGATGACAGAAGTCTCCGTGTGCTCACATATTACAAACTTCACTTCAATGTCGGGATAACAAAGGCCTCCAGGAGCTGTTACGTGGAAACATTGTGAAATCTGATGTTTCCCGTACAAAGGTGAGTACTTGGTGACAAGAGGAGCTTGATATCAGGATGACAGAAGTCTCCATGTACTCACATATTGCAAACTTCTCTTCAATATCAGGATAACAAACGCCTTCAGAAGCTTTTACGTAGAAATATTTTCATAACTGATGTTTCCCATACAAACGTGAGTACTTGGTGGCAAGAGGAGCTAGATATCAGGATGACAGAACGAGCTCACATTGAATGTCAGGTTGTTTAATTCCCCTAGGAGCTCCTATGAGGAAGTTTTTTGATATCTGAAGTTGCGATACAAATGTGAGTACTTCGTGGCATGAGGACCTAAATATCAGGATGACAGAACGTTCTAGGAGCTCACATTGAATGTCAGGTTGTTTGATACCACTAGGAGCTCCTACGAGGAAGTTTTTTGATATCTGAAGTTGCGATACAAATGTGAGTACTTGGTGGTATAAGGACTTAAATATCAGGATGACAGAACGTTCTAGGAGCTCACATTGAATGTCAGGTTGTTTAATTCCACTAGGAGCTCCTATGAAGAAGTTTCTTGATATCTGAAGTTGTGATACAAATAGAGTAATTGGCGGCATGAGGACCTAGATATCAGGATGACAGAACATTCTAGGAGCTCAATTTGAATATCAACTTGTTAAAAGCCGCTACGAGCTCCTACTAGGAAATTTCTTGATATCTGATGTTTCAATACAAACGTGAGTACTTGTTGGCAGGAGGCACTCAATATCAGGATGACAGAAGTCTCCAGTAGCTCGCCTATTACGAACTTCTTTCTTCTTATTTTCAATATCAGGATGGCAAAAGCGTCCAGGAGCTTTTTTCGTAGAAACTTTGATATCAGCTGTTTCGATACAAACGTGAGTACTTGGTGGCAGGAGGAGCTCGATACGATGACAGAAGTATCCAGGAGCTCACATATTGCACTATTCCTTTAAATATCAAGATGATAAAAGCCTCCAGGAGTCTTTATATGGAAAGATTTTGATATCATATGTTTCCATACAAAAGTGTTTACCTGATGGCAAGAGAGCTCGATATCAGGATGGCAGAACATTCTGGGAGCTCATTGAATATCAGGTTGTTTAATCCCACTAGGAGCTCCTACGAGGAAGTTTCTTGATGTCTGAAGTTTCGATACAAACGTGAGTACCTGGTGGCAGGAGGAGCTCGATATAAGGATGATAGAAACTTTCTAGGAGCTAGGATTTTAAAAACTCCTCGTTAATATAAGGACCCTCAAAGGATTTGCGCCTTTGAAAAGATGAGTATCGAAACGTCGAACGTTCAGATAAGGCCAAGGGCGTTGAGGATTGAACCGTCCCCATTCGAAACACCTGCGGCCTGTTTGTTCGAACCGCGTGTCAATATTTGCAGTAGTTAATGCGTAAAATTTTAGGCAACTTTTTGAGGAAAGAATCAAGTCAAGCGTCCGTTCGAAGCTCCGTAGTACAAATTCGCGCTCCTGAGCCCATTTATCGTCTTTTTTACATAATTATAAAACTGATTATTAATAAATAGAATGGATTTTATAAACATGCTAGATACGCCTTCGGATTTGTATACAAATCTTGAGGTCTGCTGTTTGACGGGGATTAGACCGAGATGGCATTTTGATAATAGGTTTGTTCCATTTTTGTTTTGTTTTTAAACGAGTTACAGTCGGATTGACTATCAATTGATCAATTTTTGACTTAGAAAAAGACCTGCGCTAATAAACAGCAGTTTTTTATGCATCTAACTACGGTAAGTAGAAGAATGTTCAAAATTTCCTTGTTTTTCTGTTTTTTTCCCTTTTATTTGACAAAAATTAAAAAGCAATTAAAATAGAGGGAAAAGAGGAATAAAAATAAAACGACCTCGACTGAAGAACAATACGCAATAAAAGTGGAAATCTATTTTGCCCATTTTGGTCTCGTCCGGTATAGAGAGAGAGGGGGGGAGGTTGTTTACTCCATTTGCGTACGGCAAATTGTTAAAAATCCTTCGAAAAAGATAAGAAAAAAATAATAATTTCTTCCAATTTTGAACGTTTCGGGTTTGTTCTGTGCCTGTGCTTGTCCGAAAGGAGGGACTTAGATCAAGTCCTTGTTGAATTTTCTTATCTGATGCTTTCTAGTTTTATTATTTTCTTATTGTGGAGGGGCCTTATCGCGATTTTTCACCTGACGTCTCTTATCTCCAGCACGAATTGTCAAACAGACACGCAGTAAAGATAATTACATTCAGGACAGTCAGTTTACGTCCTAATCGAGCTATGATCGCCTGGCTCAGGAAATGGCTGAGGTGTGAGAGGTTTCGTAACAGAAGTCTTCTTTTATTATTCAAATTTTTGGGGGAAAAAAAAACTTAAACGAGCTATTTTCATTTTTCAGGATGAGCCCACCGCACCTGGTGACAGAGGACACGCCGCCTGACATGCTAGCAGGAAACATGGACCTTCGACTCGTCCTTCCGAACGGAAGCAGGGTTAAGATGAGCGTGGACAGGAGGTAAGGATGGATTAAGAGTTTTTTTTGTTAAGAAAAAGCGGAACGTCGCGGACCCTAGATCATTGCGCAACCATTAAGGCGTCATCATTATGTCATTAGAGTCTTTTCCGACAGTGGTTTATCCCGTTCGCGCCATGTCTGACAAATTGAAAAAGAAGCGAGACTGATCGGACTGGCGGGATAGGCACGGGAGTACAAACCCGATGACCTAGGGGTCACGGTTTAACAATAACCGGCCGCCCATCTTTCTCCTATTTATATACTTTTGGACATTTAATCACGGTTGATAAGAAGCGAAACAAACCGGACCCTTGATCATCACCGTACTAGTCCTGTACTACCCAAAACATCCCAGCAATAAGAGCTCAAGTGTTTCAATAATGAAGGCAAATGTCGTTAAATGTTTTGTGTGTGTTTATGTATGTTATTAAGAGTTGGGGAAAAAAACGAAATTTTACGAAACAAAGGTTTTTAATCAGTTTAATATCATAGGACCTGATGCCCTACCGCAAACTAGGTACGGTTTGGTTGCAACTGATTGTCCAGCGTTTCACCTATTTTGGACTTGTAACCCTTTGGTCATGTGTGAAAAGAAGCGAAACTAACCGGACCCATGGTCATCGCTGCCGAAGTGGTACTGGCAAAAATGACCTCGGTTACTTTCTTTTATTGGTCAGCTATGTCAATAACGAAGAGACAATCCTTCCAATTTTTGGACAATTTGTTCTTTATGCATTTTATACCATTAATTTTAGAAAACAAGCGAGACTTAACGGACTGGAAGGTTTTAATCCGTTGAATAACATGGGACCTGATGACCTACTGCGATCTTGGTTTACTACTGGTACTGGTACCTAGATTGATTATCTAGGGTTCTTCTTATTTTGGTCTTGTATCACTTTAGTCTTTAGTGAAAAGAAGCGAAACTAAACGAACTCATTATAGTTTCTGGCTCACGAATACAGGGTGGAATATCTTTGACGCCTCTAGTTCAGTCGTTTCTCCGCGCTTTATTTTCGGCTCTCCGTCTTTGTTTTATCCAGCGATGATCCTTTTGTGAAACGCCGTGGGATAGGCCCCAAACCCCCTGGGAAAGGATCCCATTAGACTGCCGTTTTCCCAGGGCGTGTTCCGTAATCGAAAAACCGATGAAATCACCCCGGTGATATCACCCGTCCACGCCCACCGCGGGTCATCGCAGGCCGGTGAGAGGAAAAAGAAAATCCGGCGATGCCACGCGGGCCCCCACTCAATTAAGGCAAACCTAATGAGATTTTCCCCTTTCGGGGTGTAACCGAAAATTGACTTTCTCCTCAGCTATCAAGGTCCGCGAATTCATATAAAATTTATAATGCTTCTTTATTTTATTTTTTTTACAGGACCCCTATGATGGACCTCCTGGTGCACCTGACCACCACGTACAAGATCTCGCCTGCAGGTCATATCCTCCAGCCCTACGGTGAGACAGGTCTTCTTCCCTATAAGCCGAGTACGCCTATCGGTGAGTACCTTCTGTATAATAATACAAAAATTATTGTTTAAGAAACGAAGAACCTTCGGACCTTGTTTTTTTGTTTTTTTCAATTAACATACATTAGAATTCAAGGCGTGTGATTCTCAAGTCATCGATGCCAATCCTCCTTGAATAATAAACTTCCGAATGGTTCTTCTCTGTAAAAACCATTAGGTATACCAAATTTTAATTTTTTTTGTCAAGGCGCTCTGGACACATGGACAGTACACATCGTTCCGAAGAACCAGGCTGTTCAGAACCCGGCAAACAAGATCTCACTCAAGCAGGTGACACAGCCGTTCGAACAGACGTACAGGTTCCAAGTGAACCTCCCCAGGAACCAACTGTACGTGACCAGGGTCTCGGGCCGTACGACCATGTCCGAGATACTGAAACAGGCGTGCAGGGAGAAGGAGCTCGATCCGGGCAAGTACACGCTGAAGCATCCAAGTAAGTCCTTCTTTGAGGTGAAACAAACCGATCAAAAACTTTTTTAAAATTTTTTTTTTAGAACAGCTCGACGGGCCAGCCCTCTACGATGACCTTTCGGTCGCAGAGTACGGACACAACCAGGTATCCATGGTGTCGTCCAGGTCTGTCCCGAGCGCCATATCCACCGAGGACATACTTGCAATGAAGAACTACAATTCGAAATCTGTAAGTTGGAGCAAACTTCAAATCTTGGAAAGCATAAAAATAGCACAAAAAGCATAACTTCAACATAACCTAGACGATTCTAACCTCCCTGTTTTTTCTTTAGTATTTTATTGTTTCTATTGTTTATTATCATTGGATAATTGCCAAATTTGAAAGCGTTAATTGTTTATTATAAAAGAAAAATGAAATATTCTTTAAATTCAGCTTGAAAAGGCGGAAATTTTGACTTTTCTAAAACATAACCTAATCAATTTTAACTTTTTTTTTAATAAATAGATTTTGTCGTTATTATGGTTTATAACTGTTCGTTTATTTTCAACTTCGACGACTTTCATTGTAAACCATAAAAAAGAAAATAATATTGTTAACATTTTGTCCTGAAAAAGCTAAAATCTTGCTTTTTGTCAACATAACCTAGACGATTCTAGCCTTTTATTCCTTTTTTTCACAATTTTATAGTTTATTACTCTTCATTTATTGTCTTCTTTGCCGACGTAATGTAAACGGGAAAAGACGAAAATGAATTTTGTTAAAATTGTCTTGAAAAGGCTAAAATATCGCCTTTGTCAAAATAACCCAGCCGATTCTAACAATTTCTGCCTTTTCTTCAAAATTTTATAATTTTTATGGTTTATTATTGATCGTTTATTGTCAACTTCTACGACTTGCATTGTTAATTATAAATGAATATTCTTAACATTTTGTCTTGAAAATGGGAATATCTCGCTTTTTGTCAACATAACCTAGTTGATTCTAATCTGTCTTGCGTTGTCTTCAGAATTTAATAGTTTTATGTTTTATTATTGTCGGTTTATTGCCAAATTAGAGTACTCACATTTTAAATTATAAAAAGATAAAGATAATTGTTAAAATTCTGTCTTGAAAAGGCTAAAATCTCTCTATTTTTTTACAATATAACCTAGCAGATTCTAACTAATTTCGCCTTTTCCTCAGAGTTTTATAGTTTATTATTGTCTATTTATTATCATTCTTTGATGACCTTCAATTGGAAATTATTAAAAGGGAAAGGAAATTATTAAATTGTTAAAATGCTGCCTTGAAATGGCTAAAATCTCGTATTTTGTTAACATTACCTAGTCGATTGTAATCTGTCTTGTGTTGTCTTCAGAATTTAATAGTTTTTATGGTTTATTGTCGAATTTGGCGAGTTCCAATTGTAAATTATAAAAAAGGAATGGTTAATTGTTAACATTCTGTCTTGACAAGGTTAAAATCTTACTTTTTTGTCAATATAGCTTAGCTGATTCTAACCGGTTTTGCCTTTTGCTTAGGGTTTTTTAGTTGTTATAATTGTCGGTTTGTTGTCGAATTTGACGAGTTTCAATGTGATGATAGAAAATGATAGAAAGAGAGAGGAATATTGTTAAGATTCTCTTTTCAAAAAGCTCTATATCGCTTTTTGTCAGCATAACGCATAACCCAGTCGTTTCTAGCCTGTTTACCTTTTCTTCTTGGCTTTATAGTTTTTATAGTTTATTATTGCCGGTTTATTGTCAAATTTGACGACTTTCTTTGTGAACTATAAAACGGGAAGGGATGATTTTTAAATTTTGACTTGAAAAGGTTAAAAACCTCGTTTTTGTCAGCACAACTTAGTCGATTCTAACCTGGTTCGTCTTTCCTTCGGGTTTTTATAGTTTCCGTTGTAAGCGATCAAATTGGAAAGGGTTATTGTTAAATGCTGTTTTGGAATGTCTAAAATCTCTCTTTTTGCCAACATAACCTAGTCAATTCCAACTTGTTTTGCCTTTTCTTCAAGATTTTATAGTTTATTTGTACAAAATTATTTTTTCTTGTGCTTTGAGCTTATTGTAATGTTTATTTTGAATTGTTTATCATAGAGTGAAAGCAGTTCGAGAAGCCTAAGCCCCGACAGCTCCATCTCTCCTCGTAACCCCGTCCAACCTTCTAGACCGGTCAGGAAACGGAGGCCAGCCCCCAAGCCTCCGGTCCAGCCCAAAAAGGGAGAGGAGGATCCTAAGAAGACCACCACTGTTATATGCCATTCTCGCACGTCCTCCGACAGCTCCGGCTACCATGAGGCCTCAGTTCTGAGCGAAGGGCCCGAATCCAACCACAGGTCGGTGTACAAATCATATCGCCTTTTTCCCTCTACTTTTTATTATTTTTTGTCATTTTTTAGCAGTCTGCCCGATTCCCTGCCGAGGCGGAGCAAACTGCCGAGTGAAAAGCCGATGAACAAGCTTTCACGTAGTCTTTCAAACCTGCACCACGCTTCAACGTCCCAGGCGGGGATGAAGCCCGCGCAGAGCACCTCCTCCCTCGCACCTAGTAAGTTTCACCGCCTTCAATTTCAATTCTAAACCGTCTAAACTATTATTCATCTGTCAGGTCGAAAGAAAAAACCAGCACCTCCGCCCCCCGTGGCAATAGTCGAGGAAAAGGAAGAACCTTCCACGCCTAGGACAGTCCGGACCCTGCCGCCAGGCGCACGACTCGCCGTACCCGAACCCACGCTTTGTAGTGACACAGCGGAACAAGTAGAACCCAACACAGGTACGCATCCTGTAGAAGCCAAATCCAAGCCAAAATTCAAAGAACTGCTTGATTTTTACGAAAGCCCTGTAAAACCTCAAAATCCGATGACTACTGTAACCTCAAATATAAAGGTGAACCGATCCCAAGATGAAATCAATTCAAACAACATAGATAAACCATTAATTCATCAAGCCAACACAGAACAACCTACAACATCACGCGAATTACCCACATCAACACAGTGCAATGATAATTCAGTTTCGGAACAGCCCACCAAAGAAAATACACAAAAGTTCAAAACGGAAATTTCGGATTATTGCACGTGCCTATCGCCCGACCCTGTATACGTATACAGGGTACCCGTACAAAACTTTCTGGTTACTAGGAGGGAGCACGAACAGGCCTGGAAGAACATGGAGATTTTTTTGTCCAGCCAAGACGGCGAACTGGTCTAAAACGAATAGTTTTTTTATCAAAGTAAAAAAAATTCTATATATTATAACCTAGTCGATCTATGGGAAATTATTTTCCTGAAATTTAAGTGTTTTCACAGACATAACTTAGTCAATATTAGTGGTTTCAAGTTTTTATCAATAATTTTTCTGTTTTCTTGATTATTCTTCTTTCAAACAATTAAAACATTTATACATTTTAACCCCCAGGAAAGTTAAAGTTTGTACGATTCTGGCTTACTGTAAATAATTAAAGCTTGTTTTTCTAGCATATCCTGGTCAAATCTACTGGTTACACGTTCTACCCTAAATTAAATGTTCGTTCTATTAAACATTTTTGATCCAAACAGCTAAATTTATTTATTTTCTTTATGAGAACTGTCTAAAATTGGGAAACTTTTGATAAAATAATTATTCAGGTTTTTTTACAAACATAACCTAGTCGATCTTGGTGTTGCAAGTTATATTATCGATAATTTATCCGTTTTCTAAAATATTCTTCTTTCAAACAATTACATTCAAACATTTTACCCTTAAAAGAAAGCTCAATTTTGTATTATACTGGCTTAAATTGAATGTCAATGCTTGTTTTGTTAATATAACCTAGTCAAACCTGGTGGTCACCTGTTCTACCGATGGTATTTAGTTGTTTCGTTGTATGTTTCTTGCCTGGAAGTTAGATCCTGTGTAGTCCTGGCTTTCATAATAGAAAAAATATGTAAAATTTTAAAACCTATTATCCAAACCGATGGTACGAGGGTTCGAGGTTGGGTCTTGGAGTTGTTGGCGACAGGTAAAGTTCGAACCTTTGTAGTAGTATTGTAAAATGTTTGTTCTGTTTTTGTTTGTGTAAGTATTGTTTAACTAAATTATTTTGTGTTCTTTTTCGTAGAGGGCCTGAGGTCCGACCCGACGTCCGTGTACATCGATCCTTACTCCTCGGATAAGAGGGCCGAGTCGAAACCCTGCTCGTTGAGCGACCTCGAGGCGGACAGAATCGAAGAGGAGATCGAACGCATGTTTGAACAGGCGACGAGGGAGCACGTGAGCCTCGAGTCAGGGGTCGACATCGCCGAATCGCCAGAACTCGCCAACAACATTCCGACCCCCGAGACACCCCAGAACGAGGACCCTTTCAACTGGGAGTACAAACTGCCAGCACCGCCGACATTCAGGGATGAGACCTCTTCACCGACAGTCACGGAATACTCGACCATGACGGTCGGGATCAAAGAGGTTTTCTATAAGACGAACGAAGAACCTGTAGTCGCCGAGAGTGTACGTCCACCACCTCCTCCAGTCTCATCGGTGACGAAGGAGAGGCAGGCAGTCGTCGCCGAGCTCACCCACGTCCTCCAGAGCAAACAGCCCATCCAGGAGAACAGGGTCGGCTTCAAGATCACGGCGTACAAGACCGACCAGAAATCACCCAAGAAGTTCGAAACGAACATAGCGAGGAGGAGCTCGTTCGCTGAACAGGCGAGGCACTGCTCACCGGTGAAACGGTCCGCGTCCCAAGCCGGCAATCTCGCCAGAACGAGGTTCAGCGCTAGCAACACGAATCTAGTCGAAACCCAGGAAGAGCCGAGCCTCCGGAAGACGAGCAGCGAGCTCAGCGTTGCCGGTAAGCCCCCATCATCATCACAGTCATTCGGCAAAATCCAAGCAAAACATGATTTGTTTTTTCTGTAGTAGATTTGGCAGAAAATGATAGCAGGACCCTTGACTGTGAGGAAACTGGGCTGCAATCCTTACAGGTAAAGATTCAAACAGTAAAAAAAGGTTGATCATTAGTCAAAGAAACTGGTCATAAATCATAAAGTAGTGTTCAAAGAATGGAAGGAAATTTCTGAAAATCAAGACATTACTTTTTTCAGGTTAGGTTATATCCTATTATTTTACAGTTCGGTTATTCATACCCAAAATTTTTATTCTGATTGATCATTAATCATAAAGCAGTATTCGTACAATCGAAGGAAATTGTTTAAAATCAGGATATTACATTGTTCAAGTTAGGTTATTTGTTCTATTGTTTTACAGTTCGGCTATTCATACCCATCAAAGAAACTGATCATATAATCATTAATCGTAAAGTAGTATTCGTAGATCGTTCGTAGGTTCATTATTTGAAGAAGCTGATATATGATCATTGATCATAATGTAGTATTCATAGAATCAAACGAAATTTATGAATATCCAGTTATTTCAATGTACAGGTTAGGTTAAATTCTACCTGTTTAACAGTTTCGGTATTCACCCAAAAAAATTTATTATGATTTATTATTAGTCAAAGAAACTGATCACATGACCGTTGATCATAAAGTAGCATTCATAGAATCAAAAGAAATTTCTTAAAATCCAGTTATTTCATTATACAGGTTAAGTTCTCTCCAAGCAGTCTGATAGTTCACTTAATTTATAACCAAAATCTTTATTGTGATTAATAATTAGTCAAAGAAACTATTCATGTGATCATTGATCACTAAGAATTATTCAAAGCATCGAAGAAAATTTCGTAAAATCCAGACATTACTTTGTTCAGGTTAGGTTATGTCCTATTATTTTACAGTTCGGTTTTTAATACCCCAAATCTTTATTCTGATTGATCATTAGACAAAGAAACTGATCATATGATCATTAATTATAAAGCAGTATTCGTAGAATCAAAGATTGCTTAAAAACCAAACATTACATTGTACAGGTTAGGGTTGTGTCCTAATTAGTCTGACAGTTAACTTAATTCATACAAAAAAATATTATTATTCATTAGTCATAGAAACTGATCATATGATCATTGATCTTTGGGCACGGTTCCCGCAGTCTGTAAAAGATTCAAAAAGTTCGTTTGCTTGTTCATCTTTGCGGTTTTGAGGTTACGCGAACCCGCGTGTTGTTAGGAGGTTATAATGGGCTCGATTTAAGCCCACTTCGACCGTTATATGCAAAACTTCGGCACTTAACGAAATTTCCTTTTCCAGGTTTTAAGGAGTATATTGCCGCAGCTGAGCCAGTCACAGGGAGCTATGAACACCGTCGGAGAAAAGTAATTTTGTATTGTAATGTGTTTGTGTTTTTTTATTTTTTATTTTTTTTATTTTTTAAGGTCGAACGGGAGGAACGTGTACCAGAGGCCAAAGGTGAACCTTTCGCTTTCCACGTGGGGCGAGCGTCCTAAACGCCAAGTGAGCATCAAGTCAGACAAGGACTACGTTTTCGGCGCCAAGCAGCCCGTCAAGTCCGACCAGCAGGCCAAACCCCCATGCAAAGTCCCCAAGCCGGTCCAGTGCAGCCAGAGCTTCAAAGGTCCGAGGACGATCGCATACAAGACCCTCGACACCGGGAACACAAAACCTCTCAAACAGATACTAGAGAGGGACCCGAGGCCGCCCGTCGTTCGATCAGTCGAACTGAAGAAACCCTACAAAATGGAGAACCAGAGGCCGTCCTCATCGTACCTTTTCGGGTGCCAGCCGACCAAGAGGTACACATCGGTCGTCGACCTGAACCCGGCTTCGTACCACAAGCGGATCCCGGAAACCGTCAACGACCCAAGGGAGGAGCTGCTTCGGTCCATAAGGGGGTTCGGTGGACGCAACAACCTCAGGAAAGTCTCCGCACGCTAGACCCCTCAAACACCTGCACATCCAAAACAAACAAAACGAAAAAACTCGATCCAATTTTTGTCCAAAACCAACAACCAAAATTGACAGTTTTTTGTTTTTTTGATCTTCCTTTCTTCCTAAAAAGTTCCTCTTTTCCAACCTGACTCCTCGTCCCCCACTAGTCTCGACGGACTATAAAAACAACGAAAAATCATCTAATCAAATTAAAACAAAAATATATATTATTTAAATAATTTAGTCAATGTTTATATATAAATTTTAAAAAAGACAACCAAAAAAAAATAGATTTTTTTTTTGGTGGAAAAAACTGTTTGTTTTCATTGTAAAACAGCTCAATCTCTAGCCAAATTTGTACATAAATATAATTTTAAACAAAAGTAAACATTAGTCAATATTTCTGGGTTAATTTGGGTTAAAAGAACAATTAATAATATATTTAAAAAACAAAATAAATAACTAAACAATGTGTATAGTACGATCATATATTTATTTTATATATTGTAAAAAAATTTGTAAAACAGCATTATAGATTGAATTATTATGTATCATTAAAAAATATATTGAAAAAAAATTTTGCCTATTTCTTAAATAAATTTTTGGAAGTTGTACAGTTTCCTCCTAAAGACGACTTTTTAAAAATTGGCGCGAAATCGAGACAAGAGAGAAAGAAAACCTTCCCGCAACAAATGTTTTTTCAACCCCCCCCCCACCTACAAGGTTTTAAATAAAAATAAAAAATTTATTACACACCATTTATCTAAAAAAACATTAAAAAAAGACAAACTTCAAACATAAGTCTAAATTACGAGTGTCCTACAACAGAGAAAAACCAGCGACGCCTTTGGACCCAAGGATGCACGACGAAAGCATGGTAAGTTTAGCGCCATTTTTCAAAAAAAGATCTTGATGATTTTTTTTAAACCAGATGAACCAGGGGGAAATGACCCAGAAGAACAAGACCGGAGTCGTCACCAACATTTTCACAGGTGAAAAAAAGAAGAAAAAACGCAAACACAAGTCCGCTTGGTCTCGCTGTGTCTTGAAATGTGCCCAATGGAGCTTTATAAGTGCGCGTAATAGGCAGTTTATGAAAAAAAACATTTAGCGCATGAAATAGTCTGCTGGAGAATTAGATCAAGGGAACGAACGGTTCTATCATCAATCGGGTAAGAAATGACCTGTTCGTTGAATATTTTCTTGAACGAGTTGAAAAGGGTTATCTGTCTTGTCGTGAATCTGGTAAGAAGTCATCCAAATTTGATGTCAGCAGTTTGGTCATTGGGTATTTGGTGAACAGAACGAAATGAGCGATCAGTCGTCTAGTCATTGGGTATTTAGTGAGCCGGATCAAAATAACGATCACTATATAGTCGTTGGGTATTTGCTGAACAAGACCCAATGAACGATCAGACAACTAGTCATTGGGTATTTGGTAAGCCGGATCAAACAAAACCGATCAGTCGTCTAGTCAATGGGTATTTGCTTCACGGGTTCAAAGGAATGAACGATTCAACCAATTTTCAACAGAATCATAGCTAAATCGGCACATTTCACACAAAGCGAAACTCAGCGGGCCAATTACGATTTTGTACCAAAACAACAATAATTTTGTCCCCATATTCAACCACTAGGAAATGAGTCCGACGCTGACCTCATATCGGATATCAGCCCGTCAGATGGTGAGCACCTTCAGCACAACGATCACCATTTGGATAGGATGCACGACCATTCGGACAACCAAGAAAACGGTATTTTTTTCTAATTTTTTTCCCCTGAAGGTTCGTTAATCGATGATTTGTAAGAGGTGACACACGGGTACGACATGCCCGTTAGGGAGGAGGACGACAGGAGAGTCGACGCTTCCGAAGAGGTGCGATGTACCAGGACTGTACCGTGTACTGGTGTATATTTATATTTTTTTATAGGAGTACGACACGTACTTTTGCGGTTCGCCCTCCACATCGATCATAACCAATGAAGACGAAAAGGCGGCCGAGGCGAATACGGACATCGGGTCGGAGGACGAGCGCGAATCCTTCCACATGCGCTATTCTGACATATTTGAAAACTGGCAATACGTGAGTCAAATTAGAAATGATTGCTGCTGATTTTTTTTTCTCGTACGAGGGGTCTGATTTTCTCCAAGCTATTGTTTTAATGATGATAAATTGTATTTTTTACAATCTTTCATCATCATCGATATATGAAAAGTTTGAAACCTGACTTTCGGGTAGGGATATTCGTAGCGTTTTTTTTTTCTTTTCTCCAAGCTGTTGATGTAAAGAATGAAAAATGTAGATTTTTCATAATCTTCCTAATTGTTTGTCATTGTAGTTGTTTTTTAATGAAAAAAAAAACAAACTTTTTTAAAAAGTAAAGGGAAAAGGGCATTGATGTTTGGTTTTACCACATGTTTCGTTGGATTTTGTTGGATGAAAGATTGGTCAATTTGTATACTGACTTTTTCAGAGCGAAGACGAACGGAATTGGCTCAGGTACAAGGTCGAGATGCTCAACAGGAACCAGTGCGTAGTCTTCTGCATCCTCGGCCATGTAAGCATTCTCCGATTGGGGTTCGAAGGTGAAATTTTTTAATTTTGTTTTTCTAATGTCAGATCATGATGACACGCGAGGAAATGCAGGGCATAAGGCACGCTGCCCCCAACCCGGACGACGCTCGACAGGCCCTCCTCACCCTCTGCATCGGCTCCCAGTGGGACGTCCGGAACCTGGCCATACTCATGGCGTTCCAGGACAAGGTGAGCGTCGTGGAGAAATACGTCTCGACCCTGCTCATCGTCAACCCTTACAAGGCGCGCAGCCTCATCAGATACATGCTCATGAAAATGTTGTAAATAAAAAAAAAAATAATAAAAATAATAATAAAAAAAAACAAGGGAAAAATAAAGATAAAACAAAGATAATGTCAATAAATATTTATAAAGTCAAACAAAACGCTTAAGTACCGGAGGAAACCGATAGGTTTAACATTCGGGAAAAACCGAAAACAGGCGGAGCCAAATTCCTTTCGAACTATCCATAAAAAGGTCCTCCTGTTCTCGCTTTAAAACCAAACTCATAAACAGTAAGTTATATGTATATTTTTCTATTAAACGGATAAAATGAATGATCGGTCATTTAATCATTGGATATTTGGTGAACCGGATAAAATGAACGATCATTCATCTAGCCATTTGATGTTTAGTGAGCCGGATCAAACGAACGATCAGTCATCTGTCATTGGGTATTTGCTAGCCAGCATGAAATATACAATTCGTCATCTAGTCATTGGGTATTTGGTGAACTGAATCAGATGAACGATCAGTCATCTAGTCATTGAATATTTGGTGAAGTGGACCAAATGAACGATCAGTCATCTAGTCATTGGGTATTTCCTGAACAGAAGGAAATGGACGATCTGACATCAAGTCATTGGGTATTTAGTGAGGCCGATCAAAATAACGAACAGTCATATAGTCATTGGGTATTTGCTGAACTGGGTCCAATGACCGATTAATGATTGTCATTTGGTATTTCTTGAACAGGATCTTTTTTTTTTTAAACGATTTGTCGTAACTTAAAAATTATTTTATTTATTAGTTAGTACAAGAAATAAATGGTTTAAGGCTCGCTTGTTTGAATTTTGGCGGGATTGCCGTCGCCGCTATGTTTGACTTGGACTACAAAGGTGGCGCAACAAGATCTGGATTTGATTTTCTTTTGAGCGGATCTCATTGAAAGCCATTTTCAATGGAAATTTTGTTAATTTTTAAATTGTTTATAATTAAATTAATAGTAATTAATTTAATTTGTTAATTTATAGGAAGATGAGCTGTAAGAACTTCGTTTACAACCTCCCCGGCCTGTTTCGCCGGGAGGTTGCAACGCGGTTCTTTTATTTACAGTTCGCGTCGAACGAACGATAGCCCCGATCGTCTGAAAGGAAAAATCTATTTGAAAAAAAAAATGGCTTAAAACCCCGAAACAGAAGAAAAGAAGAGAAAAAAAACAAGAGGGCGAAGAAGAAATAAAGACAGAAACGAGCTTCACCCGAGGCGAGAATGTGCGCACAGCCGAGCCCCCCGCTACAGACGCAGACGGTAGACCGGGAGAGCATTTACAAATGGGTCTCAGAGCTTTCGAACTCGTCGACCAGAGAAAATGCACTCCTACAGCTGAGGTAACATCACAAAAATATAAAAGATTTATTTTTAAAAAAAGTACAAAAACAAAATGTAAGCAAGGAAAAGACAAATATCCACCTTTGGGAAGAGACTCCCAAGCCTGGAAGGATGGCACGTCTGCATCAACCAGAGGCGAACAAATGTGCATTTGAACATTAAAACATGATCAAATACATGACAATTTGGTTATTTTTCATGTCAAATTATTGAAAAAGTATTGAAATATCTTTGTTTCACTTGGCCTTTAGTCTGGGTGTTCATCCTTTTTTAAAGCAAGCCTGCCAACTTGTCACCTTGCAAATCCACTCCCACAATGTTTCATTATTATCAAATCATTCTTTATTACATAAAAAACCTGTTTTGTATGATAATGTCTCATTTCAGTACTTTATACTTGATTGAATAAAGTCCCGGAAAGTTTTGTCGCAGTTGATCTTTTTTAAGCAGTTCTACCAACTTGTCACCTTGCAAATCCATTCCCACAATATTTCATTATCGTAAAATAATAGTTTATTACATAAAAAAAACCTGTTTTGTCCGATAAAGTCTCATTTCAGAACTTTATACTTGATTGAAAAAAGCCTTGGAATGTTTTGTCGCACTTGGTCCTTAATCTGGGTGTTCATCCATTTTTTAAGCGGGACAACTTGGCACCTTGCAAATCCACTCCCACAATGTTTCATTATCGTCAAATCATACTTTATTACATAAAAAACCTGTCTACTAAAAACTAATGTCACATTTCAGTACTTTATACTTAATTGAAAAAAGTCCTGGAAAGTTTTATCGCACTTGGTCTTTAGTCTGGATGTTCATTCATTTCTAAAGCACTTTTATCCACTTTACAGAGGCTGAAACCAAAGTGCGACAAACCATCTTTTCAGGACTGCAATAAATGTAAACTCCTGAAATAATCCATTTGCAATATTTTTTCATATTAATATTTAATAAATTATACCTACATTATACCTATTTAAATTTTTCTGATTTAATTTTGTAGGGGGGATGTGAAAATTGAACCAAATCTTTTGAATTCCAGTTGGTAATTGTATTTTTTTATTATTGCAATTATTCTTTTTTTTTTATTTTAGCAAGAAACGAGAGGTAGTCCCTGATCTTGCGCCAATGCTATGGCATTCGTTCGGAACGACCTCAGCACTGCTCCAGGAGATAATCAATATCTACCCAGTAATCAACCCCCCGACGCTCACCGCTCACCAGAGCAACCGTGTCTGCAATGCCCTTGCGCTTCTCCAGTGCGTAGCATCCCACCCGGAGACGCGCAGCGCCTTCCTCCAGGCGCACATACCCTTGTTCCTCTACCCATTCCTCCACACCGTGTCCAAGACCCGCCCATTTGAGTACCTCAGGCTCACATCACTCGGCGTGATAGGCGCCCTGGTCAAGACAGACGAACAGGAGGTCATAACGTTCCTTCTTACAACCGAAATCATACCTTTGTGCCTCCGCATAATGGAGTCGGGATCCGAGCTCTCCAAGACAGTCGCGACCTTCATCCTGCAGAAGATACTCCTTGACGATTCCGGTTTAAACTACATCTGCCAGACCTACGACCGTTTCAGTCACGTGGCAATGATACTTGTAATAAAAATTATTAATATTTTTACAATTAAAAAAAAATCATATATATAATTTTTTAAAGGGAAAAATGGTCCTGTCCTTGGTGAAAGACCCGTCAGCGAGACTTCTTAAACATGTGGTGCGGTGCTACCTTCGACTCTCTGACAACCCTAGGTGTGCCTCTCATCTTTCTCTGTTTAATAATTAATTAATTACGTTGTAAATTTTTTGTAATCAGGGCTCGTGAGGCGTTGAGGCAGTGCCTCCCAGATCAGCTGAGGGATTCGACGTTCTCCTCTTGCCTCCAGGAAGACAAATCGACGAAACACTGGCTCGCCCAGCTGCTGAAGAATCTCGAGGCGGGCCTGCCGCTCGCCATCTCGCCCCTCCACGTGACTCAGTCGATGTGAAAAAATATATATATAAAACAAAAGAAAAAGAACAATCTGGTGCCTCATTTTATTTTCTCTTTTTTATTATTATTTTTTCTCTCCATTTTATATCGATAAAATCTTTTGTGAGAGATGACAAATTGAATCTGAATACCAAACTCTATTAACTACTTGGCATTTGTATATTTCTGATATATCTATTGTAAAATCTTATTTAAGGAAGGAAGAAACAAAAAAGTGGCTAGTTCTTCAATAAAAATTGTATATTTGATTTGCTATTGTTTCCTCTCCTACCTTCTTAAATATTTATTTTATTTTTTTAAATTTTTATTGAACTTGTAAGGCCTGAGCTTGAAAAATATACCAAGTCCGATAAACTTGTGTGAAGGTTTTTTTCCGATAGATTTTCAAATTTGTTGAAGAGAGAAGACTGATAGTAAAAATACGCAGTGTGCGATAAACGTGCGTTAAGGTTTTGCACACTATGATTCATCGAAAGATTGTCAAATTTGCTGTTTATTTTGTTTAATTATTAGTTTTTTAAATGCATATTAAATTTAATACCTATTGGTGGAGAGGGGGACATGTGAAAATATTGTAACAACAAAAGTAGTACATAGCACAAACAAAAAAAATGCAAAAGTGGGCCTATTGCTAAAATAGGCTGTTCTGAAAATATTCCAAGGGTGATAAACTTGTGTAAAGTTTTCACCTGTACAGTTTTTACATCTAATGATTTTTTAAATTAGTGGAGAGGGGCCCTGTTGTGAAAATATTTCAAGTGTGATAAACTTGTGGAAAGTTTTCACCTGTAGATGTTACATCTAATGATAATTTTTTTTAAATTACAAATTGGAAGATAGTCTACTGTGAAAATATTCAAAGTGTGATAAACTTGTGTAAAGTTTACACCTGTAGATATTACTTATAATTATAATTTTTTATTTATAAATTAGCAGAGCCATTGTGAAAACAGGCCAAGTGTGATCAACTTTTCTGATCGATATTACATCAAATCCCAGTCACAATAAAAATATCATGAAAGGAATTGGTCCTCAACAAGAGCCCTGGAGTGGCAGAAATCAGTGAGATGTTTCAAGTCCCATTTTGACAATTTGATATCTTCCACTAAAGTCAGATATTCATTGCAGAAGTGTTCCATGGACCTCATGTTGATGAAGTTTTTAGAGTAAGCAGTTGATGACCTATTTTATCAAAATCCTTGGAAAAATCAAGGTAGACTGCGTCCACTTGGTGTCCTGTTCCAATTGCCTTAACTATGTAACCTTGAATAAGTAGATGATTTGTTGTAGTTCATCTGCAAGGATTTTTTTTGCCATGTTTTTGGGGTACTTCTTAGAAGTATATATTTTTTTTAATTTTTGCATTAACTTGTAACGCCTGAACGCAAATAACTGTAATAAACTTGTGTAGGTTTCTGTTTCTAACCATCTAACAATAGATTTTCAAATATGTAGATGGGAGAGAAGGTTAATCGCAAAAATATCTACTTGCGTTAAGGTTTTGTACACTGTAATTCACATAATAATAGATTTGCAATTTTATTTTTAAATGTATGTTACATACAATAATTACTGTATGAGTAGTGCAAAGCAGCACATAATAAAAATAAATAACTAAAATTCAAAAGTGGTTCTATTGTGAAAATTTGTCAAGCGCAATAAACTTGTGTAAAGTTTTCACCCGCACAAGACATTATATATGATGATAATTTTTATTTATAAATTTGCATGGTTGTGCTTATTGAGGAAATGTGCCAATTGCAATAAGCTTGTGAAAATTTTATAAATTTTTGTGTATTTTTGTAATATTATGATGTTAAATCTAATGATAATTTTTTTTAAAATGCAAATTTGCAGAAGGGAGCTAGTGAAAAAATGCCAAGTGAGATAAACTTGTGTAAAATTTTCTGTAAGATACTACATCTAATGACTTTTTATTTACTCAAAAATTTGTGGGGTCTGTTGTGAAAATATTCAGTGTGATGAACTTGTGTAAAGTTTTCACCTGTACAGATATTACATCTAATGATTTTTTATTTATTTATAAATTTGCGGAGAGGCGGTCAGTTGTGAAAATATTCCAAGTGTGATAAATTTGTGTAAATATTTCACTTGTACAGATATTACATCTAATGATTTTTTATTTATTCATAAATTTGCGGAGGGAGGCCTGTTGTGAAAATATTCCAAGTGCGATAAACTTGTGTAAAGTTTTCACCCGCACAAGACATTACATATGATGATAATTTTTATTTATAAATTTGCATGGTTGGGCCTATTGAGGAAATGTGCCAAGTGCGATAAGCTTGTGTAAATTTTATAAATTTTTGTGTATTTTTTGTAATGTTCTGATGTTAAATCTAATTTTTTTTTTTTTAATGCAAATTTGCAGAAGGGAGCTTGTGAAAAAATGCCAAGTGCGATAAATTTGTGTAAAATTTTCTGTAAGAATATTTGTGGGGGTCTGTTGTGAAAATATTCAGTGTGATAAACTTGTGTAAAGTTTTCACCTGTTCAGACATTACATCTAATGATTTTTTATATATTCATAAATTTGCGGAGGGGGGCCTGTTGTGAAAATTTTCCATGTGCGATAAACTTGTGTAAAGTTTTCACCTGTACAGACATTACATCTAATGATTTTTTTATTTATTTATAAATTTGTGGAGGGGGGTCTGTTGTGAAAATATTCAAAGTGTGATAAACTTGTGTAAAGTTTTCACCTGTAGATGTTACATCTGACTACAATTTCAGTCGTAATTTTGCAGTGGGGGCAGTACACCTGCACTTAGATCTGTCACAGTTGTCACATCCAACAGTATTTGCATAAAAATAATTTTTTACAGGTTAAAAATTACCGGATAATTTTTTTTTCTGGAGGCAGTGAAGGTTTTCTCAGTGCTAGAAGTGTTTGTGAAGGTTGAACCAGAACACTCGTTATGTCATTGCCGAAAGGATGGGATGACTGGGCAGTGCCAAAATGTACAGAAGTAGGTAAGTGAAGAAAAAAATTAGATATAATCAGATAAATTTTGATAATTGACAAGAAAAAATTAAAAGATTTTACAGATAAGGAAAATCAAATGGGGACACAAAATGCAGGATGCTCTGGCGCAAATCAGGAACCAAGTAGGTTTTAATTAAACTTTTTTTCCTCAAATGTTGAGAATTTTTTCTTAAAGGTTCACCTGTATCTTCAACATTCGATTGCCTCAATAAAATATGTACGGCGAGGAACGTCACACAGTCTGAAGGTAAAAATATATTTAGTTTTTCAATTAAATTTTTTTGCGTTTTTCAATTGGACTCTGACAGAGGCCTGTGAGATTGGGGAAAAGCGCATCCTCAGGCCGAGGCGGAGCATGCTGATCCCATCACCGACGTACAATTGCCGTTCGTGCTCAGCCAAGTACAAACGCTGGGAGTCGTACTACATTCACGTCAAGTTCAAGTGTCTCAAGAACATTTACAGGACGAGGCGATTCGCCTGCCCTTTTTGCGAGTCGTACTCATCCAATGTGAGGTCCTCCCTCGCAAAGCACATTGTCTATGAACACGTCGACAAACCCGATCTGTCGGTGCGTCATCTTGATTCACTAGTCCGTCACATAGTAATAACCTTTTTCTTCTCTCTATACAGGAAGAAGCTTTGTACGACTGAGAGTTCTGTTCGATGATTTATTCTGTATTTTTGACATGTATAAATAAAATTTCTCGTTAGACCTCATTTCGTAAATCATTCCTGGTCCATCCATTCTTTTCTTTCTCTCCTTTTTTAAAAAATTTCAAACAACGATGGCATTATTATTAGGCAGCTTGATCGACTTGGATCATCAGTGCTATCTAATTCAATAGCATCCAGGATGATTTAATGCCTAATCCTATAATCCTAACAGGACTTGCTGACTAATCCAATGAACTTGTAGCCTTTGCTGCTCAATCCCATAATCCAGCGAACCTTGATGCCCAATCCTGTAAGCCTAAGAGGATGCCTAATTTGATAATAATCCATGGGCTTTGATCCTAATCATCATAGCGCTTGCTACCTGCTCAAATGATCTTGAATTCATCCTGCATAGACCTAAAATCCTGTGAAACCTTGCCTAACTCAATGATCTAACCTTCGTTACCTAATTCGATTGGTGTTTGGTGCCTAATCTTGTATAATGCAGCAGTCATTAATGGCTAATCTGACGATCTTGCAACCTTTGCCATCTAATCCTGATGATGAACCTGCAAGGCCTGTTAAACATGCAGTGCTACTGTATTATTAGCAAGGGCTACTGGATTCTTGTCGAATTAAGCAGTAAGGTATTTAGGACTATAGGATTACACAGGAAGTGAACGCAGGATCATTGGATTAGGCTTCAAATCTTACACATTATTATCAAATTAGGCAGCAAGTCATTTTATGATTATAAGATTAGACCGCAAAGCCTCTTAAGATTAAGCACGATTGGATTATCGTGGAATTAGGCAACATGGCCTCTTAGGATTAGACGTTAAAGGCCTATTGGATTATTATCGGATTAGGCAGCAAGGCCTGTTGGATTATTGTCGGATTAGGCAGCAAGGCCTCTCAGGATTAAGCATGAATTCCTGCCTATTGGATTATTGTAGAATTAGGCAGTAAGGTATCTTAGGATCAAGGATGAAGACCCATTGGATTATTGTAGAATTAGGCAGCACGGCCTCTTATGATTATAAGATTAGGCAGCAAGGCCTCTTAGTATTAAGGCCTGTTGGATTATTGTCGAATTAGGCAGCAAGTCCTCTTAGGATTAAAACATAAAGCAACATGGCCTCTTATGATTATAAGATTAGGCAGCAAGGCCTCTTAGTATTAAGGCCTGTTGGATTATTATCGAATTAGGCAGCAAGTCCTCTTATGATTAAAACATAAAGCAACATGGCCTCTTATGATTATAAGATTAGGCAGCAAGGCTTCTTATGATTATGAGATTAGGAAGCTAGGCCTCTTAGGATTAGGCATGAAGGCCTAATATATTATTGTCGAATTAAGCAGCATGACCTCTTAGGATTCTTGGATTAAACACGCATTAATCAAGAATTAAGCGGAAGATTGTCAGATGCCATCAGGCCAGCCCTGAATTTCACCTTTTTTACAGTTAATTTACGATTTCCATTTTGGTTATCCCATTGGTAAATATGAACGAATATCTATAAATATTTTTTTTTATTGTCTATTAATTGCGTGTCTTTCCTCCCTTTTAAAAGGGAGAGTCCACCTGTCCAGCTCCTCTTCAGTGAGTAATGCCCTCCCCCGGAAAGATCCACAAGTGGGGGGTTAATTCGGGTTGATAACGTCATGCACGTGTACAAACACGTCGCAGCTGCTTTTCCGAGTGCCCTCCCCGGTTTTTGAAGGGGTGTTAATGCCGTTCAACCACCCTCCCCCCACGGGATTGGATTTGCCAAACACGGAACCACCCCTCGCCCTATGAAAACAGGGGCGCCGAACACTTGGTTTTGTATTTAAACGTATCAATTCTCGGCTGAGTGCCCTCCCCCGAGTTGGACGCCCTAATTGGTTTTTAATTTTCTACTATGAATAACACACTATTCTTAGGGGGGAACTACGCCTAACCTTCAAGAACCGCGAGAACCGGCGGACCCAGAACCCTGTTGAATCCAAGTTGAAAACATTCCACCAATTGCAGGCATACTTATCAACTTAATAAAGTTTAAAAATAGTAGCAGGATTAAGCAATGCCATCAACGTATTTGTTTAAGCTCCTTTCAGAAAAATGTTTCATGGATTGTATCAGGAGTAAATAAATCTATTTCTATCAGAATTCCTTGACAGGCAAGAGCTATATTTTAATTAGTGTTAGGAGAGTATGACGAAAATTAAAAGATTGACTTCTATGAGGATGGTCCGACTATCAGGAGCTAAAATCGAAGTAGGATTACGAAAGAGTAACAGGAGCTCTTTTCAAGGTATATATCAGCGAATCCGACTATGAGAGGCTAGATTTTAATTAGGGTTAAGTAGGAGTTAAATGAGCTCAAAGGGAGACGTATAGCAGGATTCCTTGACTACCAGGAGCTAAGATTTAATTAGGATTAGGTAAGTAACTAAAGAAACTCATAGAATTACTTTTATCAGGATTCCCTGACAACCAAGAGCTCGATTTTACTAAGGTTAAATAGGAACGACACCACCTCGAAGAAATGGCTCGTGTCGGTAGACGACGTGTCAATCGGGAGTAAAAGTAGACTTATAAAAGGGTGGTATGTGGTCCTGTAATGAGTCTATCAGCATTTCTTGATTATCAAGAGCTACGATTTAATCAGGGTTGAGTTTAAATGAGAAGAGTAAAACAAATCACATTTATCATGATTTCCTGGCTGGCAGGGGCTATATTGTAATTAAGGTTAAGAGGGAAAGACAGAAGCTCATATAATGATTTCTATTACAATTCTTCGAATACTAGGTGCGAGGATTTATTTAAGGATAGATAGAGACTAAAGGAGCTCACAGATATCTATCAGAATTCCTCGATTGCCAGGAGTTAGATTTTAATTAAGGTTAAGAAAGAAAGTTGGAATTTCAAAGAATGTCTTCTTTCAGTTTGGAACGACAACCAGGAGATTCAGGATTCAGAAAGCTGGCAGGTGCTCTTGTAAAGACGTATATCAGAGCACCTCGGCTACCAGGAGCTAGATTTTCATTAGGTTAAGTACGACCTCAAGGTGCTGACAAAAAAACACATTTATCAGGATTCCCCTGAGGGTGGCAAAAACTGTGGTTTAGACGACTATTAGGACGTCTTGACTCATGTGAATTTATTCACTGTTACCTAGGAATCACATGAGTTCAGAAAAAAAGTTTATCAATCCTGTGCAATGACAGAATTCTTAGATTGCCAGAAGCTAGATTTAATTATGATTTAAAAATAAATACAGAAGCTCAAAGAATAACTTCTATCAGGATGACATGACTACTAGAAAATAGACTTTAATTAGAATAGAAGCAGGAATGACTTCATAGTCGTTTATCAGGTCACTCCAGTCAATGACAAGAGCTCATATAATAATTTCTACCAGGATTCTTCGATTGCCAGGAGCTAGATTTTTATTACGGTCAAGAGGAAAAGTCAGGAGATAATAAAATGACTTATATTAGGATTCTTCTACAATCAGCAGGTGGAGATTGCTATAGGCTTAATAAAAAAAAAAAAAAAACAGATTTTGTTCGTGAGTACTAAAAATTGAAATAGAATTGAGTAGAAGCGAAAGGAGTTCGTTTAAAGATGTCTAACAGGATTATCCGGCTTCCAGGAGTTAGATTTTAATTAGGTTAAAAGAGGAAGACTGTAGCTCAAAGACTGCTTTCTGTCAGGATGGAATGACTACCGGGAATTTAAACCTGGTCAACTACTTCTATTTTAATTAGGGTTACGTAAGAAAAACAGGAACCCATACAATGATTTTTGCCAAAATTAGTAGACACCAAGCACCTAGAATTCAATTAGGTTTAAGAGTGAAAGACAGGAGCTCAAAGATTGCCTTATATAAGGATGGGATGACTAAACATGAGCTTGAATCGACAAGGACTCAGAAAGGGTGGCAAGAAGTCTTCAAAAAACTTATACCACAATTCCTTGACTACCTCTATTTTAATTAAGATTAAGTAAGAAAAACAGGAGCCCATACAATGTTTTTTGCCAAAATTACTCGACACCAAGCACTAGAATTCAATTAGGTTTAAGAGTAAGAGACAAGAGCTCAACGATTGTCTTCCATCAAATTCCATGACCATAAGGAGATTGAAAAGAAATAAGGTTAAGTAGAAATGCCAGGCTCTTGTAAAAAGACGTTTATCCGGATACCATGGCAAGTATCAGGAGCTGTAAAAAACGTCTATCAGGATCCTTCCGAGCCAGGAGCTAGATTTTATATAGGATTAAGAAAGAAAAACAGGAGCTCATATAATGATTTTTGCCAAAATTATTCGACACCAAGCACCTAGAATTCAATTAGGTTTACGAGTAAGAGAAAGGAGCTCAACGATTGGCTTCCGTCAAATCCCATGACTATCAGGAGGTTGAAAAAAATAAAGTTAAGTAGAAATGACAGGCTCTTGTAAAAAGACGTTTATCAGGATACCATGCCAAGTATGACGAGCTTGTAAAAAACGTCTATCAGGATCCGTCCGAGCCAGGAGCTAGATTTTATATAGGATTAAGTAAGAAAAACAGGAGCTCATATAATGATTTTTGCCAAGATTCCTCGACACCCAGCAACTAGAGTTGAACCAAGTTTATGACTTCCAGGAGCTCGGGTGTAATTAGAGTTTAAAAATATGACAGGAGCCAATGCATCCTTTGCAGGAACATTTGGAACGTGTTGTAACAGGAAAACTCGAGTGAATATTGCTGTTAATATATTATCGTTTTTTCGTCGATTTGATTTGTATATAATNCGTCTATCAGGATCCGTCCGAGCCAGGAGCTAGATTTTATATAGGATTAAGTAAGAAAAACAGGAGCTCATATAATGATTTTTGCCAAGATTCCTCGACACCCAGCAACTAGAGTTGAATCAGGTTTTTGACTTCCAGGAGCTCGGGTGTAATTAGAGTTTAAAAAAATGACAGGAGCCAATGCATAGTCCTTTGCAAGAACATTTGGAACATGTTGTAACAGGAAAACTCGAGTGAATATTGCTGTTAATATATTATCGTTTTTTCGTCGATTTGATTTGTATATAATATATAATATTATAATATAATAATAGTATAATATTCGACCATAATGGAAAAACATATTTTTTGTTAAATAACGAGGAGGAGGCGTCATAGGGAAGTCCGGAATAGTCGTTGATGTTTTCCTTTCTATTTTTTACCTAATAATATTTTTTATTTTTTATTATTGTTTAGTGATGAAATAAATTCGTGATTTTCCGTCGTCGCAGGAGAGATAGATCAATGTCGTACAAATGTCTTTTTCCCAAGGGTACAACGCAGGCGTGCGCCTCTTGCCACCTGGCCATTTTCCCAGCAGTTCGATCCGCCACGCCCATCGGGGATTTTCCGCCCAAAAAAAGGATGAAAACGCAAAAGAGGAGGAAAATTAGAACCACATATAAAACAGGGGAAAAACGCGTTTTAATTTATAAAAAAAAGGTACAATGTTATGACTAGATACGATTTGGTAAATTTTTTTTTGGATTTTGGTCTTGGTTTTTACACGCTGCCGAAACCTTTGCTCCTCGGGTCAGCCGGTGTCCAAACTTTGGCGAACATTACCCCGTTCCTTCCGTTCTCCTTGTCCGAACTCCAGGATAGAGAGTGGGCGGCGTATGGACATCCGTAGCTTCCTGAAACGTAAAAAACGGGTTAATTTTGACTAAAAATGACCGTTCTGTTGGTAATTTACACAAATACTTCTTTCAGGTTCCCCAGTCTATCAGAACGGATACAGGCTTAAGGCTAAAGTACTAAAAAAAAAAGTCTAGAAAAGGTGGCAAGAGCTCAAAGAAAGTTGTCCATCTGAATTTCTAGACTATCAGGAGGTAGATATTACAATTAAGTAATAATTCAAGGAGCTGAAAAAAAGACATCTCCCAAGATTCCACGATTTCCTTTACTAAAGGATGATAGGAGCTCATAAGGATCAGGATTTCTAGACCGCCAGGAGCTAGATATTAGGATTAAATAGTAATTAACGGAGCTGAAAGAAAGACTTCTCTCAGGATTCCACGATTTCATTTACTAAAGGATGTTAGGAGCTCATAAGGATCAGGATTCCTAGACTGTCAAGAGCTAGATATTAGGATTAAATAGTAATTAACGGAGCTGAAAGAAAGACTTCTCTCAGGATTCCACGATTTCATTTACTAAAGGATGTTAGGAGCTCATAAGGATCAGGATTCCTAGACTGTCAAGAGCTAAAATTGAAACGGGCTTAAGATTGAATCTGACATTAATAGCTGGACTTTAAATAACGACCGCTATCAGGATTCCTTGAGTAAAGGATGACTGTAATTGAATCAGCGCTAGGAAAGAAGCATATTTCTATTGAAAGACTTAAAAGCACATGGCTATCAGGAGTATAAATACCGTTGAGAAATTGTGAAAGGAGCTTCACAAATAAACTTCTATCAGGGTTCTTAGACTACCAGGAGATAGAATTGAAACGGGCTTAAGAAATCTACTATTAATTACGTGACTGTCAGGACTTAGATTCTAATTAGGGTTAAGTAGGAACGACAGGAGCTCAAAGAAAGACGACTCGCAGGATTTACTTGACTATCAGGAGCTACAATTTAACGAGGATTCCATGATTTCCTTGACTAAAGGATGATAGGAGCTCATAAGAATCAGGATTCCAAGACTGCCAGGAGCTAAAATTGAAACGGGCCTAAGATTGGATCTGATATTAATAGCAGGACTTTAAATAATCACGGCTATCAGGATTCCTCGACTACCTGGTCTAAAAGATGACTCTGTTTGCTCTAAATTACTCTGAATCAGTGCTAGGAAAGAAGCATATTTCTATTGAAAGACTTACAAGCGCACGGCTATCAGGAGTGTAAATCATGTTAAGAATGGATGAAAGGAGCTTCATAAATGTTCTTCAATCAGGATTCTCAGACTACCAGTAACTCAAAAAATGACGTCTATCAGGATTCCTGGACTACCAGGAGCCAGATTTTATTTAGGGCTAAGTAAGAACGGTAGGAGCTCGTACAAAGATTATTTTCGGTTGGATGAAGCTAGGATTGAACCAGGGTTAGGACAAAAGCAAGTAGATAGTCATACATTAAGATAACACGGTTACCAGGAGCTAGAATGTAATTATTCTTCAGAAAGGTTGGCAAGAGCTCATAAACATACTTCAGGATGCTACAACTGCCGGGATGCAGGACTGAATCAGGCGTAAGACACTCACCTCTGACACTATACCTCTAGTCGTCTTGCTTTGTTGCTTTCTTGTTTTTCATCTCGTCCTTCCACCCCTTATATCACCTCACTTGTCATTCTTTCTTTCTCTCTCTCTCTCTCTCTTTCTCTCTTTCTCTCTTCATCCTCATCCACGTATAATACGTCTATATGCTCAATCTGTTCCTCTCACTCTGAATTACAGTTTTGTCATTATTTTTATTTTATTTTATGAAATTGTTCAAGTGATTTGTCAATACGAAAAATCAGTGTCGCTGTACAAACCTCACCCGTTGTTTCAACGGCGGAATGAGAATCGGGCGGACGCGTGCCACCGTTTTGTCGCACGTGCGGCCGCTCAAATCACCGGTCACAGGCCGAATGCTCGCGTGCCGGCCACCGGTTTTCATTGTTGACACGGATTATCGGGTCATCCGTTTAAAATAAACAACTGGACAAGAGCGTTGATAAGTGGCTGGGATTTGGACGTTTTTGATGAAGACGAGAAGAATGGCGCACCGGCAATTTTCCCAATTAGCAGATCATAAAATACACGGTATTTTCTTAAACCTATTTTAATCGGGTAAGTTAGCTGTTTTTATATACCTAATTCTATCAGCCGATTTATCCTATTATAAATCTATTTGGCATTGTCCTGACCCTGGTTCATTCCTAGCCTCAGCTACTCATGAAACTCTAAAAATAATCTTTATACGAGCTCCTATCGTTCTAACCTAAACCTAATTAAAATCTGGCTCCTGGAAGTCTATTAATCCAGTAATCCTGATTGAATTATATTTATGCTGCTAACTTTTCTGAAGAATAATTAGATTCTAGCTCCTGGTATCCGTGTTATCTTAATGTATAACTAACTATTTGCTTTTATCCTAGCCATAGTTCAATCCTAGCTTCAGATAGTCACGAAACTCTTAAATTAATCTTTATACTTAAAACTAATTAAAATCTGGCCCCCGGTACACTAGGAATAGTGATAGATGTCCTTCTTGGAGCTCCTGGTAATCTACAAAAATCTTGATTCAAGTACATTTATGAAGCTCCTTTCATCCTTTCTTAAGTGTAATTATACTTTAGCTCCTGGGAGTTTAATAACCCTGAGTGAATTACATTTATGAAACTCCTGTCATCATTTCGTAGGAGTATTTATACTCTAGCTCCTGGTCGTCTAATAATCCTGATTGAAATCTATTTATGAAGCTCCTGCAATCCTTTCACAAGATTAATTATATTCTAGCTCCTGATAGTTTAAGAATCACGATTCAAATACATTTATGAAGCTCCTGTCATCCTTTAATTGGATTATTTATACTCTACCTCCTGGTCGTCTAATAGTCCTGATTAAATTCTATTTATGAAGCTCCTGCAATCCTTTCATAAGAGTACTTATACTCTAGCTCCTGATAGTTTAAGAATCACGATTCAAATACATTTATGAAGCTCCTGTCATCCTTTATTTGGATTATTTATACTCTACCTCCTGGTAGCCTAATAATCCTTATTGAATGCAGAATGAACGATATGAAGCTCATGCAATCCTATCTTGGGAGTATTTATACTTTAGCTCTTGGTAGTCTAATCCTGATTGAAGTATATTTATGAAACAACTTTCATCCATTCTTAATTGTATTTGTACTCCTGATAGCCGTGCGTTTCTAAGTCAATAGAAATATGAGCCTTAATCCCGTTTCAATTTTAGCTCCTGGTTGCCTAGAAATCCTGATAACATGTATCCCTTTAGTCACTTTTTGGAGCTCCTGTCTTTTCTCTTAACACAAATTAAAACCTGGCTTCTATTAGTTTAGGAATCCTGATAGAAGTCATTTTTTTGAGCTACTGTCTTTTCGCTGATCCCTACTTAAAACTGAGCTTCTGTTAGTCCAGGAATTCTGATAGCAGTCATTTTTTGAGATCTTGTTTTACTCTTAACCCTAATTAAAACCTAGCTCCTATTAGTCTAGCAATCCTAATAGAAGTCACTTTCTTGAGCTACTGTCTTTTCGCTTATCCCTAATTAAAACGTATCTCCTATTAGTCTAGGAATCCTGTTAAAAGTCATTTTTTGAGTTAATGTCTTTTCTCTTATCCCTATTAAAACCTAGCTTCTATTAGTCTAGGAATTCTGATAGCAGTCGTTTTTTGAGATCTTGTGTTGCTCTTAACCCTAATTAAAACCGAGCTCCTATTAGTCTAGCAAACCTGACACAAGTCATTTTTTTTAGCTACTATCTTTTCTCTTATCCCTAATTAAAAAGGAGCTCCTATTATACTAGCAAACCCTTATAAAAGTCATTTTTTTAGCTACTGTTTTTTCTCTTATGCCTAATTAAAACGTATCTCCCATTAGTTTAGGAATCCTGAGAGAAGTCATTTTTCTTGAGCTACTGTCTTTTCGCTTATCCCTAATTAAAACCGAGCTCCTACTAGTCTAGCAATCCTGATAAAAGTCATTTTTTTAGCGACTGAATTTTCTTTTATCCCTAATTAAAACCTAGCTCCTATCAGTTTAGGAATCCTGATAGAAGTAATTTTTTTTTTAGCTACTGTCTTTTCACTTATCTCTACTTAAAACCGAGCTCCTATTAGTCTAGGAATTGTGATAGCAGTCATTTTTTGAGATCTTGTCTTACTCTTAACCCTAATTAAAACCTAGTTTCTACTAGTCTAGCAATCCTGATAAAAGTAATTCGTTTGAGCTACTGTCTGTTCTCTTATCCTTAATTAAAACATAGCTCCTATTAGTTTAGGAATTCTGATAAGAGTCATATTTTTTAGCTACTGTCTTTTCGCTTATCTCTTAAAATCTCTCTACTTAAAACCGAGCTCCTATTAGTCTAGGAATCCTGATAAAAGCCAATTATTTTAGCTAATGTCTTTTCTCTTATCTCAATTAAACCTAGCTCCTACTAATCTAGGACTCCTGATAGAAGTGATTCTTTGAGCTCTTTTAGTTAATATGTAAAACTAATTATACTCCTGGTATTTATGAATCTCAAAGCAGTATAATTATTGGCCTTAACCCAACGTAAATTCTTTCTTGGTACAGTAGTCCACCACACGAATCCTTCCATGAGCTATTTTATCGTCAATAGTTCGTACTTAATGCTAATTAATTCCTAGCGCCTTGTAGACTAGGAATCCTGATATTTGTCATTCATGAAGCTCCTGCTATTAATATTAGCTTCTGACTTAAATCTGAATTTCACTGAAGCTTCTGGTGGTTTATGTAAACATTATGCTCTTGAAATCCTGTCTTAAGATGACTTCGATTATAGCTCCTGGTAGCCATCCTGATATAAGTCTATATATCAGCTTTTGTCTTAACCTTGCTACAGTAATTTTTCTTAAACCAACAATTGTGGTGTTTTTTCTTTAAAATCGACAAAGTGGATAAACCTGTTTTGCGGGCGATTTTTTTTTTTCAATCTTATCTATCCCACGCTGCTCGGCTTGTTGGAGTGGAAACAATGTTTTTTTTTAATCTCGCCATCGCGATGAACTGTTGACAAATCGATATTTAACCAGGTGCTACGGCGAGGGGGGTTGAATAATAAAAAAAACATCATAGGAAGTGAATCTTTAATATAGCACCTGACACAATGTAGCACCTGCTCCAACTTTTCACCGTACGTACTTTCATCTTCTCTTTTTGGCTTATTGTTACGTATGTACCGTTTTCCCAGCCCATGAAATGAAGCCTGCCGTGGAGAATCGTCGTGTCCCACTCGACGATCTTGTGGGAGGGTCGTGCATCTGCTCATGGATCATGGATGTGCATTAGCCGGCAATTAGGGGTGGGTTGGGAGAGAGAGAAAGAGAAGACTGGATCGCGGTCGTTCCCAATCGATTCGTAACGAGCGATTCACCGCCTGCAGAAACATCAATTCATCCCCCCAGTCACACCATAACCCTGAACATAATCGAAAAACGGGGTGTTCGACAGACCGGAGAAACAAGAAATGTATCAATCAGACAAAACAAATTTCTGTAGTTTTGGTTTTGAGAGTATTTTGTTTTTCTCTGTCACTAACAGACCTTCATTTCTTTTACTGCCTATCTCTTATTATTCTTGCTACTTACAATCTTTCCCATCTCACTTAGGCTCGTTTCCATACATGTCTAAGGAGCTAGAATCACATCAGGCTTAAGACTGAAACTATTATTAATACCAGGAGCTCAAAGAAAGACATCTAACACGATTCCTAAACTACCAGGATCTGGAATTTAAGGGAGAAAGATAGGAGCTCGTATAAAGATTATTTTAAGAGTTTCACGACTAGCTGAAGCTAGGGTTGTACCAGGATTAGGACAAAAGCAAGTAGATTAAGATAATACGTCTACCAGTAGCTACAATCTAATTACTCTTAAGACAGGATTGCAGTAGTTTAATAAATGTACTTGAATCGGGATTTGTAGACTACCTAGCTAAAGTATAAATACTGTTAAGAAATGATGAAACTTTTAGCCGTGAACGTTTAATCGTTGTTGTTTTTAACTATTTGGCCGATTTTGCTGTACAAAATCAAGTTCACCAATTCACCAAAATGACGATCGTGACGTCATTATTTTTGAAATCATGCTTTTCCTCTTTACGTTTGTTGTCATCTGAGAAAGACCTACTGTTTAGTGATGTTTAGTCGTTTTCGTAAAATGATTGTGAGTGTGTGTGTGCTTCATAAACGTACTTGAATCGGGATTCTTACACTATCAGGAGCCAGAGTATAGTCTTAAGAAAGGATGACAGGAGCGTCATAAATGCCTTTAATCAAAATTCTTAAACGACCAGGAGCAAGGCAGAAGTTATTAATAACAGGAGCTTAAAGATTGACGTCTACCACATCTAGTTTACCAGAAGTTAAATTTTTTATTTTATTTATTGTTAAGTAGGTACGACAGGAGCTTATAATAATGATTTCAATCAGGATTCCTTGACCACAAAGATCTATATGGCTAGATTTTATTTACAGTTAAAAGGGACGACAGGAGCTCGTAGTGAGATTTACACACACACAATCATTTTACGAAAACGACTAAACATCACTAAACAGTAGGTCTTTCTCAGATGACAACAACCGTAAAGGGGAAAAGCATTAATTCAAAAATAATGACGTCACAATCGTCATTTTGGTGAATTGGTGAACTCGATTTTGTCCAGCAAAATCGGCCCAATAGTTAAAAACAACAACGATTAAACGTTATTGGCTAAAAGTTACTAATACATTTTTGAAACCCCCCCCCAGAAGTCTAAAGTTTACATATAACGCGTACAAGAAAATTGCCTTTTACCTAAAAAAATTTTGAGAACTGATCGTCAAATTTACTAATTTGAGCTAAATTGTATTTTTTCTGGGGAATTCCGTCAGATGATAGCATAAAAAATGGAGAAAAGATTCTATTTAAATAATGACGTCACAATTGTCATTTTGGTGAATTGGTGAACTGCACAATCAGCTAAATGGTTAAAAACGACTAAACGTTACTATAAATTTTAGAATACCCGTGCAGAGATCTAAACTTTACACGGGGCGTGAAAAAATTCTTCTAGCCAAAATTTCATTAATTTTTACTTTTGGATTTATTTGGGCAAAATCTTTAATTCTGAAACTTGATGATGATGCCGCCCTGGCGAAAAAAAATGAGGAAAAGGATTGGTCAAATAATAATGTCACTATTGTCATATTGGTGGACTAGTTGTTTTTCTGGAATTGATGAACGGTGTCACTACGAAAACGGAAAAAAATATTGATACATTTCGAAAACTTATCCACAGATCTGAAGTTTACACCTGGCTCGTTAAAAAAATTAAAAAAGGTTCCTCGTACTTTAATAATTTGGCCTAACCTAGCCTTTCGAAATCTCGAAAATAATCCAATAATCTTGAAAAATTCTGTCAGGTGCCACCATAACATAAATGGAGAAGTCTTGACTAATGACGTAATGATTGTCAGTTTGGTGAATTGGTGAACTTTGTTTTTTTCTTTTTCGCTTTTTTTGTCTAAACTCGGCTAAATAGATAAATTAACTAGATAGAACGGCTAAAAGTTACAAATAAATTCCTCCCGATGTTTAAAGTTTAAATACAATTTGTACAAGAAAATTGCCTTTTAGTTAAAAATCTTTTAAGAACTGATCGACAAATTTACTAATTTGAGGTAAATTGTATTTATCTAGGGAAATTCCGTCAGATGATACCATAAGAAAAGTGAAGAAAAGATTGTATTTAAATAATGATGTCATGATTGTCATTTTGATGAATTGGTTTTTGTCCAGTAGAATCGGCTAAATATTTAAAACAGACTAAACGCTACAATAAATTTGAGAATGCCCGTGCAGAGATCTAAACTTTACACGGGGCGTAAAAAAAGTTCTTCTAGCCAATATTCCTTTTGGAAAGGTTGCTCATTATTTACTTTTGGATTTATTTGAGCAAAATCCTTAGTTCTGAAATTTGATAATGATGCCTCCCTGGCGAACAAATTGAGGAAAAGGGGCGATTTAAATAAAAACGTCACTATTTTTTTCTGGTCTTAACGAACGATAGCACTACGAAAAAAAAAGAGTGGTTCATTTCGAAAACTCATCCGGAGATCTGAAGTTTGCACTTAGCTTGTTCAAAAATAAATAAATAAATAAAATAAAATCCTCTGTCCAAAATTTCTTTCAAACTTTAATAATTTGGCCAAAATTCTCAACTTAGGTTTTCGAAATCTCGCAAATAATGATATAATTTGGAAAAATTCTGTCAGGTGCCACCATAGCGAAAATGGAGAAAAGTCTCGATTAATGGCGTTATGATTGTCATTTTGGTGAATTGGTGAATCGGTGTTTTTTTCCCCAAAATCGGCTAATTAAATAGAACGGCTAAAAGTTACTAATAAATTTTAGAAATCCCCTCAGAAATCTGAAGTTTACATATAACTCACCTGAAAATTGACTTTTAGCTAAAAATCTTTTAAGAACTGATCGTCAAATTTTACTAATTTGAGTTAAATTGTATTTATCTCAGCAAATTTCTTCAGATGATACCACAAAAAAGTGGAGAAATGATTGTATTTAAATAGTGACGTCATGATTGTCATTTTGGTGAATTGGTGAATTAAAATTTGGAAAAAAGCTCACCTCTTATAATGACTTTTTTCTGTTCTTTGTTCTGGCTCCGAGCTTTCCCCACGGACTTGCCGAGCTCCTGGTGGTTCTTGTCGTTCCTGACCAGCTCGCTGAGGAACTTTATGTACCTGAAAGTTCGTCGTTTGTAATGTTTTTGTATTTTTTTTTTTTTTAAGTATTTAGAGGTCTTACCCTATGGCCAGTTTAAGAGTGTCGACTTTGCTGAGTCTTTTCTCGTACGGAAGTGTCGGAATGTGGGCCCTGAGGCCGTCGAATGCCTCGTTGATGCTCTGCATGCGTCGTCGCTCGCGTAGGTTTGCTGCTTGGCGTTGCTGCAACTGCTGGACGGCGCATTTCTCACCTCGCCTTCTACATCGTGAGTCCCCTGACAAAAAACAATCAGAAAAGTAAAAAAAAAGTCTAAAGATAGGGCAAACTGATATTACCCGAGTTGGACTCGTGATCGCTCGAATAAGAAAAACTCGAGTCAGACTGCGTCGAGTCTTCGTCGTGGTCGAACAGGAAGACCTGGCTCGTGTCGATGAGGAACCCGTCCATCGCTCAGGGCCGCATTCTGGCAGACTGTCGGGTCCGCCGTGCCACGCCTCTACCCCTGCGAGGGGGTGTATCTATGGATACGCCGTGCCGATTGGCCGGGGGGCGGCAGAATCAACCCCCGGTCTCTTAATCAATTTGATACCGCCGCCAATCAACACTACCCAAGGTGAAAAAACTTACAAGCAAATGTACAAATTTAGGACCATTAATTAATCACCTAAAGACCAAATAAAAAATTCTTTATAAACCAACATTATTATTTCTTGAATGGATAAACGGACCATTTTGGGAAAACCTATTAACCAAAATGACCAAAGAAACGAGTTATTTTACAAGCCATTCTTTAACGTAACCCCGAATTCCAAATAACCTCGACTCTTTTAGAATTAAACGAAAAAATAAAAAGTGTGACAAGATGAAAAAAATCTTGAATTGTTCCGTTTCAGAAAAATGGACGGAAACCAAAACCCAGTTCACCAATTCACCAAATGACAATCATGCCGTCATTATTTGTTCTCGGCCCACCGGGGTGCCACCTGGCGGAATTTACCGAAGGTGTTTTTCCCTTGGTATTTTATCATAGTGCATCGTTTTTTAAGCACCCTTCATATTTTAACTTTTTTAATTTGAGCAAATTTAGATAATTTCAAATTTAAAAAAAATTATTATTTTTTTATAAAAAGTCCAAATTTGCGTAGTGGTCATAATTGACCATATTAATTATTCTTTTTATCTAAGGTTTCGGTTGAGATGAAAAATTAGTGCCAGCCGTCGGCTCAATCGTCACGATAGCTGGAGTGGATAGAGCAGCGTGGGTTCGAATCCAGCTCGTGACACTAATTTTTATCTCAACCAAAAATCTTAGATAAAAATAATAGTTTTATAAAAATGATTTTCAGTATGAAAGGAAGGACGAGGAGTCCGAAATTCCACCCACGCATCTTTGCAAATTTCAATCCAAATGTTCTGATTCTATTTTTGAAGTCATAAAATTCGAAATTGGAAAATGATTTGATTTTGTGGGGGGAGGAGAAAAATACGGTAATTTTCGACCACGACGAGAAATGGGAGAAAGCTAACGGAAAAACAACAGACCAATTTAATCTCGATTAGGCGAAAATGACCGGCCTACCGTCAAATGAATAGGCGCAATTCGAAAAATTCGGACCGGCGTAAACATGATGAAAAAATGTGGGGGAGCGAGGAACGACAGACCCCACGACGCCAGGTTTCGGATCATGGTCAAAAATGGTCAAAAAACTCGCTGGATTTAATTTCAGTGAAATAAAAATTCTATGAAAATCTAAGTTGTCTACTCGAATATCTGACATTTGTATACGGAAATACATAAAATACATCAGCAATGATAATATTTCCTGTGATATCATGATCATTTCTCATGTGATCCCAACAAATCGAAATGTGTCATTCTTTGATTTTTTTTAAATATTTTAACCCAATTTTCGTTGTTTTTATCACGAGATATTTAACATTTGTCATACCTGATGATACAGAAATACAGTGATTCGTACGTAAATATAAAAATATATCAGAAATGATAATATTTTCTTTAAAATCGAAATCTTTTCTTTTGAGATTCTGACAATGCCAAGGTGAGGTGAGATCTCGTTATTAAACAGAAAATTGTCGTTTCATTCACAAATTCATCATTGTCAAATAGGATTATTCCGAGATCATGAGATGCTGTCTGGTGTGACGTAGGTTTTAGAAAAGCATTTTCTTTATCGTGCCAACGTTTCGATCTTTACTGAGATCATCTTCTGGGCTCAAAGTGTTTGTTTTCTGCGAAATTGTGCCATTCTTGTGTGTCTTGTTGAGAGTGCCCATATTACGAAGAAAACCAACACTTGGAGCGCTGAAGATGATCTCAATAAAGATCGAAACGTTGGATCGAGAAAGAAAATGTTTTTCTGAAAACTACGTCACACCAGACCGCGTCTCACGATCTCGGGATAACCATCGACTAACCGTCATTAATCACACACATTGTCAAATATGACAAATCCGCAATATTTCATAGTAAAAACCATGAAAGTGTGATAAAATTAAGAAAAAGATATAAAAGGTAGGCACATTGGTTTTTGTTAGAATATCAAAAGAAAATATCTCGATATTAAAGGAAATATTTCCATTATTGATGTATTTCTATATTTACGTACCGTCTAATATTACAAAAGTCAAATGCCTTGCTACAAAAAAAATGAAAAGTGGGATAAAATGCAAAAAATGTCTTAAAGACAGACACACTTTGATTTGTTTCGACAAGAGGAGGTCAGATCACGTTATTAACAAGAAAATTATCATGGCAGATGTATTTCTGTTTTTTCGTACGCGTAAATATGACAAATCTGCAATATTTCATGGTAAAAACCTTGAAAAGTGTGATAAAATTAAGAAAAAGATATAAAAGGCAAACATATTGGTTTTTGTTAGAATATAAAAAGAAAAGATCTCAATATTAAAGGAAATATTTCCTTTGCTGATGTATTTCTATATTTACGTAAAGTCGGGTATGGCGAAAGTCAAATGCTTTGCGATAAAAAAAGAAAAAAAGTGGGATAAAATGCAAAAAATGTCTTAAAGACAGACACACTTTGATTTGTTTCGACTAGAGGAGGTCAGATCACGTTATTAAAAAGAAAATTATCATGGCATATGTATTTCTGTTTTTTCGTACGGGTAAATATGACAAATCTGCAATATTTCATATTAAAAACCATGAAAAGTGTGATAAAATTAAGGAAAACATATAAAAGGTAGGAACATTGGTTTTTGTTAGAATATCAAAAGAAAATATCTAGATTTTAAAGGAAATGTTGTCATTACTGGTGTATTTCTTCCTCATAAAATCAGTCCGTTTCTACGGCTTTTAGTGAGCTTTCATTAACAGTTTTTGCATGAGTTTTAACTAAGGTTTGACAGTTTCTACAAGTTTTTGGGTGTGCACACTAAAAATAGCATCGCGGAAATCACACACTGACCTTTACCCTTGTCAGCCTCTATAAATCCAAAATCGTGGTACCTAGGCTATTTAAATGTTCCATTTCCACTGTTTTGACCTGATCCTGAGACTTGTAGAATTTGATCATGCTGGATCCTGCTGAGGTGCTTCGTTAACTTTCGTTTTCAGTATACGTTGTTATTAATTTTTTTTTAAAATTGATTTATGCATTTTACGCGTCTTTTTTCTAATCAATATTTTTGCTCGAAGTACGCCGCCGATCCCCTGGTTAGGGTCGGCGACCCCCAAGGTGTCCGCGAACCTGTTTTGGATTCCCCGGGCAAACCTAAAAGCGGATATCTCGTCCTTGTAAACCTTGACATTTTGATTTAAATTCAAAATTCATACCACACGTTAAACACAAGCCAAAACTAATTGGTTTATCAACCCATCTTGTTTAAATTGTACCAAAACGATTAGTGTGCAATTATACAATTCATATTGGATATAATTCCTGTAAATAACTAAGTTATAGTTTTTCCCCCCTAACGATTATAAATGTAAAAACATCACGTAGTAACCAGGAAAATTTTCAGTAAAATAATCAAGGTTGAATAAAATGTACAAAACGATCAATAGGTAATCATACTTGGTTTTGTTTGGATAATATGAGAAAACATAAAGATTTTAACGAAATATTGTCATTGCTGATGTATTTTTATATTTGTGTAAATTCCAGACATGACAAATGTCAAATATTTTATGATAAAAACAATGAAAAGTGAGATAAAATTTAAAAAATGTCTAATCGAAAGACACACTTCGATTTGTTGGGATAATGATCACGATATTAAAGGAAATATGATATTGCAGATATATTTCTGCATTTCCATACGGCCAGGTACCATTTATCAACAATATCTCGTGATCGAAACCAAAAAATGGGAAAAAAGAGTTTAAAAAAGTATAAAAGGCAGACAAACTTGGTTTTGTTGGGATAGCGTAAGAAAAGATCTCGATATTATAGGAAATGTTGTCATTGCTGATGTATTCCTATATTTACGTAAAGGCAGACGTGACAAATCACAAATATCTCGCGATAAAAACAATGAAAAGTGAGATAAAATTTAAAAAATGTCTAATCGAAAGACACACTTCGATTTGTTGCGATAAGATGACATCAGATCACGATATTAAAGGAAATATGCCATTGCATGTTGGTCAGATATATTTTTGTATTCCCATTCGGTCATGTGTGACTTATCAATAATATCTCGTGATCGAAACCAAAAAATGAGAAAAAAGAGTTTAAAAAAGTATAAAAGGCAGACAAACTTGGTTTTGTTGGGATAGCGTAATAAAAGATCTCGATATTATAGGAAATATTGTCATTGCTGATGTATTCCTATATTTATGTAAAGGCAGACGTGACAAATCAGAAATATCTCGCGATAAAAACAATGAAAAGTGAGATAAAATTAAAAAAAAAAAAGTCTAAAAGACAGAAACACTTTGATTTGTTGGGATAAGGTGCGGTCTGTTCACGATAATAAAGCGAAAAAAAAAATTCAAGATGTATTTCTGTATTTCATAGGTCAGATATGACAAGTTTGAAATATCTCATGATAAAAACCATGAAAAGTAGGATAAAATGAAGAAAAAAATCTATCAGATAAGAACACTTCGTTTGTTAGAATAATATAAAAAATATCTCGATATTAAGGGAAATATTATCATTGCTGATGTATTTCTATATTTAAGTAAAGTAAGATAAAACAAATGTCAAATATATTGCGATAAAAAAACGATAAGTGAAATACAATGTAAAAAAAAGTCTAAAAGACAGACAAACTTTGATTTGTTCCTATAAGAGATGGTCAGATCGCGTAATTAAACAGAAAATTGTCATTGCAGATGTATTTCCGTATTTTCGGTCATATATGACAAATCTGCAATATTTCATAGCAAAAAGCATGAAAAGGGGGGCAAAATAAAGAAACAAGTCTAAAAAGTAAGCACTTTTTTGTTAGAAGTAAGCATTAGGTTTTGTTATAAAAGATCACGATTTTGAAACAAATACTCGCATTGTTGATATTTTCCTATAATTACGTGCCGAAAGAAAAAATGCCAAACGCCAAATATCTCGTGATAAAAGCCATGCCAATAAAATTACGAAAAAAGTTTAAAAGATGAACACACTTGTTTTTGTTAGAATACCAAAAGAATAGATCTCAATATTAAAGGAAATGTTGTAAATTTCTATATTTACATAAAGTCAGATATGACAAATCTCAACTATCTCGTGATAAAAACCATGAAAAGTGGGAAAAATAGTAGAAAAAAAGTGTAAAAGGCTGAAAAAATTGGATTTGTTGGGATAGCATAAGAAAATATCTCGATATTAAAGGAAATATTGTCATTTTTTATATATTTTTTATATTTGCGTAATGTCAGAGGTGACAAATCTGAAATATCTCGTGATAAAAACAACCGAATGTTTTTGTTGGATTAAATGGCGAAAGAAATGTCTAAATGGCAGGTCCACTTGAAGCAATTAACAATATATTAAATATAAATCGCAATTGTCAAACAAACTCTGCCATTGTGATATTTTCCTATATTTACGTGACGCCAGAAAAATGACAAATGCCAAATATCTCGCAATAAAAGCCATGAAAAGTTAGATAAAATGTAAAAAAGTCTCACATACTTGTTTTTTGTTTTTGTAGAGCAAAAAAAAAATCACAATGTTACACGAAATATTGTCATTACTGATTTATTCTACATTTCCGTATCCTCAGATATGACAAATGCCAAATATTTTGTGATAAAAGCCATGAAAAGTAAGATAAAATGTAAAAAAGTCTCACATACTTTTTTTTATTAAATAACATTAAAAAAAGCCAGTATTACTCGAAATACAGTCATTACTCATTTATTTCTATATTTCCGTATCCTCAGATATGACAAATGCCAAATATTTGGTGACAAAAGCCATGAAAAATCAGAAAAAATGTAAAAAAAGTCTTACATGCTTGGTTTTTTTGAATAGCTTAAAAAAACATCACAATATTACACGAAATATTGTCATTACTGATTTATTTCTATATTTCCGTATCCTCAGATATAACAAATGCCAAATATTTTGTGAGAAAAGCCATGAAAAATCAGAAAAAATGTAAAAAAGACTTACATGCTTGATTTTTTTGAATAGCTTAAAAAAATATCACAATATTACACGAAATATTGTCATTACTGATTTATTTCTATATTTCCGTATCCTCAAATGCCAAATATTTTGTGATAAAAGCCACGAAAATTAAAATAAAATATACAAAAAGACTCACATACTTATGGGTTTTTTTTTGGGGGGGGATAGCATAAAAAAAATCAGAATATTACTCGAAATATTGTCATTACTGATTTATTTCTATATTTCCGTATCCTCAGATATGACAAATGCCAAATATTTTGTGAGAAAAGCCATGAAAAATCAGATAAAATGTAAAAAAATGTCTCACATACTTATGGTTCTTTTTTGGGGATAGCATAGAAAAACATCACAATATTACACGAAATATTGTCATTGATGATTTATTTCTATATTCACTTATCTCTTATATAAATCTCATGATAAAAATCAAGGGAGCTATCTTAGTAATTTAAAATATTTAACAACATTAGACAAATTTGACAATATTATTGTCATCGCTGACGTATATACCCGTATTTCAGACGTGTCTTGGAGTAAACAACTCATAAATAAACAAAAAATATATACAAAAATTGGAACTAGTAAACAACACCTTGTGTTTTTCAATCATTGACCATCACACAATCAGCGATGACAGGAAAATATTTATACAGGGTCTCGTGATACGGTCATTCTTTGTCACATGGACTTAGGGGCTTGATATGCTTGGAACTTTTGAACATAACGATCATCTTCGGGCAGTTTTGACCAATTGGTGGTCGTCTCGGAAGAAGGAGATTCCCCACCAATCTTCGGCGGCCCCACCATATCGAACCCGTTCTTCATCTTGTAGTGCTTTCTAATAGGCGGCAGTCGCATCGAAAGTTCGCGTGGCGACATTGTGTCTCGTTGGTTGTTGTTTTTTTGCCACCGAAATTTTTATCGTCTTTTTGTAACATGACTGCGATCGATATACGTAAGTTTTGAATTATTATTTGAGATTGTTTATAAAACTTTGTACTTTAGGGCTTAGTTTTCCCTCAAGCCCTGGAAGGCTTACATAATAAAACTTTCACAGTGCTGAAGCCATAAAGATTAACAAATAAAAGAATTCGTAAGGACGTCAAATTTCAGAACAAATTTCTTTTCTAACTTACACTAGAATCATGGCACTAACTTACACACAATCGTTGACAGAAACACATTAAGACTTTATTTGTAACTTGTATAAACTTCAATACAATTCTAAAAATTTACTCCAGTTAACCAGGCCAAATATTGGCAAAGTTCTGTTCATTATTCTTTGATATATTGATATGAAGGCAAATAGTCGGAAAGAATTTTGAGACTAATGATTTACTCGGGCATTCTTCTATAAAATTCTGCAAATTTACTCCAGTTAACATGGCTAAATATTGGCTAAAATTTGGCAAAGTTCTGTTCATTAGTTTTTGATATACTGATATGGACTCAAATAAGCTGTAAAACTTTGGGACTTGATTACTCATACTTCGTTTGGCATTTTTCAATAAAATTCTACAAATTTACTCCAGTTAACATGGCCAAGTATTGACTGGAATTTGGTTAAATTTTGTTTATTAGTTTTTGATATACTGATATGGACTCAAATCTCAAGAAAAAAAAATTGGGCTTGATAACTCACTTTTCCTTGGGCATTCTTCAATAAAATTCTACAAATCTATTCCAGTTAACATGGCCAAACATTGAGGAAAATTTGACTAAATTCTGTCAATTAGTCTTGTATATATTTATATGGACTCAAATTCCCTGGGAAAAAATTGGAGCTTGATTACTCTTATTTGCGTAGGCATACTTTAATCAAATTCTACAAATCTAATCCAGTTAACATGGCCAAATATTGAGTAAATTTTGACTGAATTCTGTACACTAGTTGTTAATATATAGCTATGGACTCAAATCGTCTGAAAAAAATTTGGGACTTGATTACTCGCTTTGTCTTTGGCCATTCTTCAATCAAATTATACAGATTTATTCCAGTTAACATGGCCAAATATTGGCTGAAATTTGGCAAAGTTTTGTTCATTAGTTTTTGATATATTGATATGGACTCAAATGAGCGGTAAAACTTTAGGACTTGATTACTTTCACTTCGTTTGGCATTTTTCAATAAAATTCTACAAATTTACTCCAGTTAACATGGCAAAGTATTGACTGAAATGTGGCTAAATTCTGTTCATTATTCTTTGATATATTGATATGAAAGCAAATAGTCTGAAAATATTTTGGGACTTGATTACTCACATTTACTCGGGCATTCTTCTATAAAATTCTGCAAATTTACTCCAGTTAACATGGCCAAATATTGGCTGAAATTTGGCAAAGTTCTGTTCATTAGTTTTTGATATATTGATATGGACTCAAATGAGCTGTAAAACTTTGGGACTTGTTTACTCACACTTCGTTTGGCATTTTTCAATAAAATTCTACAAATTTACTCCAGTTAACATGGCCAAGTATTGACTGGAATTTCGCTAAATTCTGATCATTAGTTTTTGATATATTGATAGGGACGCAAATAGTCTGCAAAAATTTTGGAACTTGATTACTCACACTTCGTTTGGCATTTTTCAATAAAATTCTAGAAAACTTTACTCCAATTAACATGGCCAAATATTGGCTGAAATTTGGCACAGTTCTGTTCATTAGTTTTTGATATATTGATATGAACTCAAATCGTCTGAAAAAATTTTGGGACTTGATTACTCACACTTCCTTTGGCATTTTTCAATAAAATTCTGCAAATTTACTCCAGTTAACTTGGCCAAATATTGGCTGAAATTTGACAAAGTTCTGTTCATTAGTTTTTGATATACTGATATGGACTCAAATGAGCTGTAAAACTTTGGGACTTGATTACTCACACTTCGTTTGGCATTTTTCAATAAAATTCTACAAATTTACTCCAGTTAACATGGCCAAGTATTTACTAAAATTTGGCTACGTTCTGTTCATTAGTATTTGATATATTGATATGGACTCAAATGAGCTGTAAAAATTTTGGGACTTGATTACTCACATTTCTTTGATCATTCTTCAATAAAATTCTACAAATTTAATCTAGTTAACATGGTCTAATATTTATTAAAATTTGAGTAATTTCTGTTCATTAGTTTTGATATGTTGATATGGACTCAAATGAGCTGTAAAAATTTTGGGACTTGATTACTCACATTTCCTTGATCATTCTTCAATAAAATTCTACAAATTTACTCCGGTTAACATGGCTAAATATTGAGTCAAATTTGATTAAATTCTGTTCATTAGTTTTTGATATATTGATATGGTCTCAAATCATAAGACTGCAATTTGGTTACTCACGCTTATATTTTCATAATTAAAATTTCAAACATTCATCCCCCTAAATGTGCCAAATATTGGACTGAATTTTGTTGAATTTTTTTCCGTTGTTTTAGATAAATATTTTTAGATCTTTGTTTAGAAAATTTCGTGTGCGTTAACTCGCCCTAAAAATCAACCTGCATCATCTAAAATTTACTCAATTATACTATCGGAGAGGTTTAATTTCCAGTCTAAATTTAGCAAATTTCTGCCGCGGTATCGCGGATATTATGATATGGATTCATGTCTGGATATAAAAACTTTGGGGCAGGTTATCACACCTTTTTCCCAGTCGATTTAACCCCAGGTAAAGCCGTTTCACTCCTTAGATGGACCAATCGCAGTTGTAATCCGGTTGAGAAAAATTCATCTTAAATTTCGATTTTCACTGTGAACATTTTTTTAACCTGAGATGATTTTCGAATTTGTTCACACTCTTTTATCACTCGTCCTAGATCTTCAAATCCCAATTGTTGCAGATGAAAGAAAGCCTTTGTCTTTTCAATCCATTCAGTCATGCCATAGTATTGCACCTCCTGCAGTCGTCCTTAATTGCAACCGCGGCACCTCAATAAAAACAACGTTCACAAAGTGTGCTGCACGTTCTCCGCACCCCGTTTTACAGCCACCGAAGGAAACGTTTAAAAACCCATTAAACCATAATGAAAGCGTGATCGGGGGAAAAAACAACAATGGTAATTGCCCTCGGAGGCCTTGGCGATCGCCTTCGGTTGGGGAAAAAATCTGGACGAATTTATCTTAATTATAAATTAAGTTAATAAAGTTTACAACCAAAAAAGTTTACAAACGGTTAAAAAAGTCAAAACGTAGTATAAACCACGCCCCTTTTAAACAATAAGCCATGCCCCTGTTGCTTTTAGCCTCGCCCTAATGTCATTAATCAAGCATTATCCAGTACAATAAAAAGAATATGCAGCTAACTGCTAACCCTTGACCACGCAAACTATAATCAGGATATACTTGTTTGATAATATTTCACATCCTGTTACCTTTTTGCAACGGGCTTAAGCCCCGCGCACTCAATTTAAACCACGCCCATGCCTCTTTAGCCAGGCCTGTTTATTAAAACTTCGCGAATGTTACTGACTTTGGTTTTTTATGTATTCTTGATACTAAATCATATATATAAAATAAAAATACTGCCAATTAATCTTTTCGAAACATATTTAATTTTTTGAATTATAAAAACCAAAGAAATAATTTTACATAATTATTATTTTTAATAAACCACACTTACATAATTAACAACACGTTCAAATTTTACAAATCAGGCTTTTTTTCGGACGGATTATTTTAAAATAAATACGCAGGTTAGTTTGAAATAGTGTGACTTTTTTCAAAGGGCAAAAACCGAAGGAATAACTTTTTTAATAAACCACGCTTATCATTCACAAGCCACGCCCATTTTGACTTTAGCCACGCTCTAATGTCATTTATTAACAATTTACCAGAGCTATAAAAAGAATATACAGCTAACTGCTCCCCCTTGTCCGACCCTTGACCAAGCAAACCATAATCAGGATATACCTCATAGTATTTCACACCCTGTTACCTTTTTATAACGGGCTTATCAAACTCCGTCAAAAGCCCCGCCCACTCGATTTAAACCACGCCCGTGCCCCTTAAGCCAGGCTGGTTTATTAAAACTTCTTGAAAAATTGAAAACATAAATTCGACCTCTTGTCTTTGAATGTCATTAATCTTTTCAGTACAATAAAAAGAAAACGCAGCTAACTGCTCATTTTTACAGTACGGCTTATTTCAAATCGCAAAAATCTGGGACTTAGCATTTTTTGTTTATTATAAACCACACCCATCATTCTAAAGCCATGCCCCTTTTCCTTTTAGCACGCCCTAATTTCATTAATAACGTCTTTTTCAGTACAATAGAAAGAAAACACAGCTAACTGCTCATTTTGACAGTATGGCTTATTTCAAATTGCAAAAACCTGGGACTTAGCATTTTTGTTTATGATAAACCACCCCCATCATTCTAAAGCCAAGCCCCTTTTTATTTTAGCCACGCCCCTTTTTATTTTAGCCACGCCCAATTTCATTAATAACGTATTTTTCAGTGCAATAGAAGGAAAACACAGCTAACTGCTCATTTTGACAGTATGGCTTATTTCAAATCGCAAAAACCTGAGACTTAGCATTTTTTGTTTATTATAAACCACACCCATCATTCTAAAGCCACGCCCCTTTTCGTTTTAGCCACCAGCTAACTGCTCATTTTGACACTATGGCTTATTTCAAATCGCAAAAACCTGGGACTTAGCATTTTTTGTTTATGATAAACCACCCCCATCATTCTAAAGCCACGCCCTTTTTTATTTTAGCCACGCCCCAATTTCATTAATAACGTATTTTTCAGTGCAATAGAAGGAAAACACAGCTAACTGCTCATTTTGACAGTATGGCTTTTTCAAATCGCAAAAACCTGGGACTTAGCATTTTTTGTTTATGATAAACCACCCCCATCATTCTAAAGCCACGCCCCTTTTTCTTTTAACCACGCCCCAATTTCATTAATAACGTATTTTTCAGTACAATAGAAAGAAAACACGGGTAACT